TCTAAATGTCTACACCCAAATTGGGCTCTCCAAGGGTCACTTGGAGTGTATGAAAGACTTAAAAGCACAGACTCAGAAATCAGCCCTGCCTATTACTGTTGTGTACTTGGGCAAATTTCTTAATCTTTCTGTGCTTCAGTTTCCTTGTCTATTGTTGTTGCTTTAGTCTTGAAGTCATGTCCAACTCTTCCGCGACCCCAAGAACTGTAGCCCGCCAGGCTCCTCTGTCCATGGGATCTCCCCCGGCAAGAATACTGGAGTGGGTTGCCATTTCCTTCTCTAGGAGATCTTCCTGAGCCAGGGCTCAAACCAATATTTCCTGCATCTCCTGCACTGATAGGCAGATTCTTTACCACTGTGCCACCAAGGAAGCCCTTCCTTATCTATGAGAATAATAGCATCCTCTTTATGGAATTATTGTGGGGATTTAATGGGTTCATATACAAGAAACACCCAGAACAATGCCTGGCATAAAACAATTACTTATTTGCTATTGTGACTTATTCCCACAAGACTACCATTACTCAAAATGTTTTTGGACTATCTTTTGGGAATTCTGTGCCCAGGGTCTTAAACGCATTCCCTTGAATCATTTCAATGTGAATAAAATTTCCTCCTTGAAGATGTGCCAATTCTTGGAAGCCGTCAAGTTGTTTGGTGTTCTAAGTAAGGTGTGTTTACGAAGTCAAGGGCTTGATGCTCTTGCACTGCTCACCTACTGCCTATGAAGAATTCCATAAAAGATATGTGCACACATACCCCTAGATAATTCCACCTTGGCTGTGATCAATCCCTGGGTAACTAATAGATTCTACTTCTGCTACAGAGAGACTGGAAAATAAAGTTTAAATATGAGACCCCTTCATTCAATTGATCTTGAAGGCTTTATGTAAGAGCATACAACCAAAGGGCAAATTTCCTAAAAGACTGATTTACATTTAAATTCAAGCCTTCTTTTCTTCCTCAGAGTTTGTGGATGCTGAGTTTTAAGTATGATATGTCATTGTTTTCACACAAATATTCCCAAACATTACCAGTTGTCATTTGTCATTAAATAGAGTCACGACATGACAATGATAAGATTAGCATTTTTTAAAACATTAACTTTTAAACTTCATTGTTCTTCTGTAAATTGTTGCAGGTTCAAATTACCCTACACATAATCTTTTAAAAAAAAAAAAAAACTAATGGTGCACTAGCATCCAAGCCAGTCAGGGTTGTATGAAAAGAATGACAGCTACCTCCTTTTGCTGGGACCTGAAACACATGGAGAGAGAAGCCTGGTGGGCTACAGTGCATGGGGTCGCAAAGGGTCAGACACAACTGAGCAGCTAGCACTAAGGGTCCTGTGCAAGTCTAATTAGCACCCTAATGGAGCACGGTGCCATCGTGTGCCCCACCACGTGCAGAAATAAAGGTGAGTAGAATGTGCACTGAACACAGATTCCCTCTGGTGGCCCAGTGGTTAGGACTTGGCACTTTCGCTGCCGTGAGCCCAGGCTCCACCCCAGGTTGGGGAACCAAGATGCCACAAGCCACACAAAGTGGCCCAAAAAAAGAGGAGGAAAAAAAAGTGCACTGAACATCCTTTCCCAAGACGCAAAGGATTTTGATAAAAAATCTAACTGGGGGGACTTCCTTGGTGGTTCAGTGGCTAAGACTCTGCACTCTCAATGCAGGGGGCCTTGGTTTGATCCCTGATCAGGGAACTAGATCCCATATGCTGCAACTAAGACCCAGTGCAGCCAAATACATAAACATTAAAGAAAAAGAAAAAAAAATCTAACTGGGTTGTTACAAAGCAAAAGAATCCTTTGTAAAGTTTCTGATGACTAAATTCTTAAAAAAAATTTTTCCCCCAATTGTATTAAAAAAAGGCTTCATTGATCTAGCATCAGTAGTGAATATTGTGTTCCACATAAATGATTTTGCAAAGAAATTTAAATTTACTTGTCTCCAAATGTCATTTTCAATTTTTCCCATGGAAATCCTTTAAAAAAGGTATTACCTCTACCCTTGAGGGCTTCCCTCGTGGCTCAGAGGTTAAAGTGCCTGCCTGCAATGTGGGAGACCTGGGTTCAATCTCTGGGTCAGGAAGATTCCCTGGAGAAGGAAATGGCAACCCACTCCAGTATTCTTGCCTGGGAAATCCCACGGACAGAGGAGCCTGGTGGGCTACAGTCCACAGGGTCGCAAAGAGTCGGACAGGACTAAGCGACTTCACTTCACCTCTACCCTTGAATTCCTTAAACAGTATTACTACTACAGACCTCTAACATGGTACCAAAGGGCAAAGTAGCATGGGGAGTAAGAAAACAAGACAAGAATGGACTAAATCTAGATTTGAGACTTGACTCTGCCACTCACTACATGTGAGATCTTGGGTGAGTCACTCGTCCTCTCTTATGACCAACTGTCCTCATCTCTTAACACACTGTGGTGGCCCGAGAGGCCAGGCCGTCCAAGAGGGACGGGACACACGCATACATGTGACCGACTCATCCTGCTGTGCGGCGCAAACCAGCATAGCCCACACTCACGCTGAGCCGAGACCGACTCTATGACCCCATGGGCTGCCGTCCGCCTGGCTCCTCTGTCCGCCGGGCTTTTCAGGCAAGAACACTGGAGTGGGCTGCCATTTCCTCCTCCAGGGGATCTTCCTGGCCCAGGGACCGAACCCATGTCTCTGGCATCTCCGGCACTGGCAGGTGGATTCCTTGACCACCGAGCCACCTGCGAAGAACTGTAAAGCAACTATACTCCCATAAAAATTAACTTAAAAGAATTATCTAAGTCACAGCATCAACTTCAGAATTTAAAAAAAAAACATTTTAGAGTTAAGCATAGCAACTGGCCAAGAATAGGTGCCAAACAGCAGGAAACTATTATTGATCAAATGGGCTATGGGACCTGTAGGACTCTGTCCCTTTGGGGCCAACAAGGGCTCTACTAAATAGCCCCAAAATCTTTTGTTGAATTCCTTTATCTCTAATAGAGGTCTTCTGATAGTCTACATTTTCTGATAGCTTTTCAACTTTGTTGTTAGGGCTTCAGCCATAGTCGTCTCCTTCTGTTTTTAACTGGAACTGGAGATTCATGGGCGACACAAGTAGGCAGAGTTTGGGAGCTACCCTGCGTGCCCAACGACTCAAAACCAGCGTCCTTTCAGAGTTACTTTCAAACCAACACAAAACAGAATCACCTTAGAGAAATAACCGCTCTCAAACCAAGAAGGCATCATAGTCCAGTTAACATCACTACAGAATGTTTTAGTGCAGAGAGGCGTGAACTCAACCGCATAACAAAAAGATAAGTCAGGGTGGCAGACACAGGTGGTGCCCAAGCCCAGTCCAGGGAAAACTTCAGCAAAGAGACGTCAAGGATTAAGACCCCATTGGTAGTGAGAAGGAGGTTCAAGAGAGGGGGGATATATGTAAGTTTATGGCTGATTCATGTTGACGTGTGGCAGAAACCAACACAACATTGTAAAGCAAGAAACATGTAAAGCAAAAAAGCAATCATCCTTCAATCAAAAGAAAAAAAAAAGAAAAACCCGCACTAGCAGGACTCCCCTGGCAGTACAGTGGTTAAGAGATTTTGCCTTCCAGTCAGGGTAACTAAGATCCCACATACGATGTGGTCAAAAAAACAAAACACGAAACATGAGCAATGTTGTATCACGTTCAATGAAGACAAAACAAATTGTCCACATGAAAGAAAAAAATCTTAAAAAAAAAGAAAAAGGACCCAATTGGCAAGACCTTTTTAAATAGAAATGGACACAGAGCTGTATCAAGGTTTCAAATATTAAGTGCATATGGAGTAGATTATTCCTCTAGTGGACTGTCACTCACTCACTGCTGTCCATTCAGTATTCACTGGATAACTGCTATTTATGCCCAGCCCCCTCCCACTTTTTCTCTGCGCCCCAGCTCTCCAAACAACCTTCTTGTTGCTACTGGCTCCTCCCAGTAGAGCTCCCGATGTGGGGAGAGTGCACGGGCCACACCAACCTGCTAAGAGACAAGGCGATTTCCTGAGGTTAGCTCATGCACGGGCATTATTTTGTCACGGATCAGTCTCATGAGCTTGTGGAAGGTGTATCTGTCCTCAAGAGACAGACTATCACAGCCCACTATCTAAGCCTGGAAACCCAAGGGCTACACTATGCCCAGCGGGGTAGATATCCCCCTGGGACTTTCCAGGGCATAAGACACTGGATTGAGGCTGTTCATCCTGACACTGGACGGTGACAGGAGGCAGACAGCACAGTGATACACAACAGGACTGTTGTTCTATTGAAGGATGGTTTTGGCATTTTACTTTCTGGTTTCCTTTAAGCAAATTCCTTAACTTCTCTGAGCCTCTTTTTCCTCATCTACCAAACAGGGTGATAAAACTTCAGATTGATTTTTGGCTCAATATTTAAACAAAGAGCAAGATCCCGGAAGATGTTACACCAGAAAGCCTGCCCTGTCCCACCTGTTCCACTACCTCCCCAGTCCCAACTCTGCTGGTCCACCTGCTTTTCACCACCAGTCAGGGGCAAGTGCAGCATCCTTCTCAGACTTCACTGCCTCCGGAAGCCTTCCAGAAGTGTTCTCTACACACTGCTCATCATACTGCTTCTCATCTCTTCTCTCAGACTTGAAAATTGCCCTCTTAGCAAATCGTCTCCTAGGAAAGGTAGTTACGGCTTTAAGGGAGCCACATTAGTCTTTACCACTGTGGGACAATTTTATGTACTTCAAAACAGCCATCACGTCCCCCACCCCCACCCCCAGCCACCGCAAAGACATCGTGTTCTTCAAGGATCCCCTGTCTGAGAACCAGCTTGTTAATAACAAAATTATTCCAGGTCTTACTGTTCTCTCATCTAGGAAATAAACATGCTTTTAAAACATGACAAATCAAATGGTGTTTGGAGACCATATTAACCATCTTCACTGCACTCCAAAGAACAACTCGAGACGCATAGAGAGCGGATTTTCAAAGAAGTGTTTTCTTGACCCAGTTAAATTTTTATTCAGTGAAAAAAGTTGACATTGAGACAAAAATGATCTTAAGACTGTGTGACAATAGAGTAAAATCTTCAGCATAAACCAGTGATTCGGAAACTTATCAAGGCAACTGAAATCATAAATATCTAATTTCACTTTGGAGAGAAACAAGTATACAGTGTTTCACTTGAAGAGCAGAGTAGGCCTTTATTTTGCTGCAAATACTTTCGATTTTTGCCTAAAGGTTCTAATAATTCATAACAAGAGGTTTTAAGTGAGAAATGACATGGAATATTGGAGAACAATGTTACATTTCAGCATTCATATCTGTTCCATTTGAGCTATTACACAGGAAACTAATACCATTCTTGGGTTACTTGACTCTGATGATTTAATTCAAAATATGGCTGCTCAAAATTAGTGGGCAGAAACATACATACAACCCATCCTCTCTCAAACCGTGCTCACTGGGGGCACCCCTTCTGAAAACACACTTATCATCCATGTACCCAACAGCACACACAGTCTCTTGCTATCTGCTCCTACCTCAGACTTGCATAGAAAGTAGTCTATATAAACTTAATGTACTGGCTTTAATTACACAAAAGTTGTACCTGAAAGATAGCACACACTTCCTTTAAGAAAAATAATGCAATAGCAATGTCATGATACTATCCCCACACGAGTGGAGATTCTGCACAGAATTTTATTCAGTCAATTCCTAAAATCAATATGGAGGTGGCATCCGGTTTGCTGACTTGCCTGGGTCTTTTCTTGGAGGGACCCCGCCCCCCCAGCTCTGCAAAGAAGAGAAACATCTCAGGGATTCACCATGACATTCTTTGTGGGAAAGTGACCAACCTAACCTGACAGGATGGGGTTTCTGCCCTTAGGGAAGTGCTGAGAACATGATCTCACTGGATGGAGAGTGACCGCTGGGTGAATATTCAGAGGAAGGGTTCTCCAGTCTTCCTGCCCCAACTGCCCTTACATGGTTGAAGCAGAGCTTCATCTAGTGAGTCACACATGAACATGCAGCTGTGTCCCACATGTGTCCCCCTAAAATACCCCACAGTACTAACACAGATGTACCCTCTTCCCCAAATCAGAAGTTTCAACCAGTTACCCAGCTTTGTAATTATACACCCAGCTTGCCAGGGCAGCCAGCAGTCATGGGAGCATCTCACCTGTCAGGAAAAGGTTCTGCATAGGCATGGTTTCTCCCGGACTCTCCTCTCTATTATTTCATCCACACAGACCCACATCTCCTAAGGCTCGAGGGGCAGTCAATCCATCCAGGGGCAAAACCAGCTTCCAGAGAAAATCTGTATACAGTCCCCCTGCCCACCATATGATAGTGGTCCACTGGCGGTCCGTTGTCGTCCACGTGGATGCGGGCTTCTGACATCCCAATGCATCTTCGGAGAAAATAAAGCCTTTTATCCTGTACAGTGTGAACTCTGGAGGTGGCATCTCCAACGAGGTATGAAAGCCCTTCTTCAGGGGCTCCAACTGGTCACAGTGAAGACAGTGATCTGGTCACCTTCAAAGGCTCCACGGAGTCTCTGCTCTCATTTCCTCCTGTCCCTCCCACCTCGGGACTCTCCCAGACGGCATATATACATCAAAACCTCACAAAGCTATGCAGAGGGAGGTGAGAGTGCGTGCTTCAAAAGTTCATAAAAATATACAATTTACACATAGCTGCATCTGTCTAGCTTAGTCTTCGGGAACTTAGCTCTTCTGTTTATATAAAATACTCTAGCCCTAAAAGGCTGCTTGTTCTCAAACAGCCCAGTGGCATTTTCCAAGGAGAGGGGTGATGGCCAGTCTATACAGTACGGTGCGCTAAGCATTGGCAGGCACTGGAAACAAGACTCGGACGCTCAGAAACATCTCGAGTTGCCAACTGGAGACATGAGCTCGGTAGAAAGGCTTGCCTATGGAAGAACTAAATATAAAATCTCAGCGCCTTTGATATCAGCTTTCACAAATGCCCCTCAAATTTGGCAGGAAAAAACAAGAAAATAGACTTTCTAGTGGTTCGATTAAATGACTTGCCTCCCACCAGATCATTCATCTTCAGTTACTTAAAGTGCTTATTTAAAAGGGAAGGTGGTAGGGCTCGGAGTTTTTGGCTTGGAAACTCCAAGGTAAGACACAAGATAAAGCCAAAGAACTGCCAATCTTTCAAAACATAACACAGGAAAGAGAAGGAAATCATGATGGAAGAAGGCTAGTCATTTACCACCATTCGCAACATCCTAACATCTACAGTTGAAAATACTCCTCAAGCAAAACATATATATACACACAAATAAAAAATTTTTTAACTAAAAACACTTTAATTGGCTCTTTGTTTCCCAAACACTCCCCAGGTAGAATAAAACTATGTTATCAACCAAGAATGATACTCTTGGTTAAAAGAAAGCAAAGACTTGCGAGAGGGTGATGTGTTGCATCGAGGAGGAGATGGGGCTTTGACAAAGCCTGCAGGTAAGGGACATTACGCCAAAGCATGACTTTGGAATGGCCCCAGAGCTCACTGCTTCTCAGCTGGGAAGAACTTCTGCAGTGAGGTGCATACAGTAGGCATCACAACAATCCTATACACTGAGGCTGACAACAGTAGGTCTCAAGAGCGGGCATCAGTCCCCAGTGGATCCCACATACCTACCAAGAGGCCATGGTTTGAATACAGGGGAGGCATTGAAAGGCAGAAGTATACAGCCCAGCTTATCTTACAAAGAACATCAGTGCTAGCACTGCTGCTACTGTGAGCTAGAGTGAATGGTCTCGAATTCACACATCTCCTCTAAGAGTGCATAGCATTTTCTCTTAAAATTGGGCAGGGGTACAGGCGAGGGAGGTGGAAGAAGAGAATTTAAAAAAAAAGAGAGAGAGAAGGCACTGACCCAATCCAAAGTGACTGCATATATCAGTATGGATTTTTAAGGACAGTAAGCGGCCACCTCAACACAAACATAAAACTTTCCATTTGAGATTCTCCAGTGGTAAGTTAAAGCAAACCAAAAAATAAAATAAAATCCCCCACAAAAGGAAAAATCTGCCAGTGTAGCTATCATGGCACAGATCTAGAATTCTTTCCCACAGCCAGAGTACTTTTTTGCAATGACAATGATACCAGTGTAGAATAACGCAGTGTTATTACTCTGTAGCTGTGAAAGCTACGTCTTGCACAGAGGTGTGTGCAGCGAGAGTCCATCCACTAGCCTAAGAGAAGAAGGCCGCTTGCAGGGCTTCCCAAGCTGCAGCTCTGTTTAGCGGAAATGGAGCAACGGCTCAACAGGCTCTTCTGCCAAACACCATTGTGTGACACACGAGCGGATAAAAATGGATTGTTTCCGGAATGGCAACAAAACTGCTTCTGCTCCTCATTGTCCAACCCTGCAGGCAGGGGTGCTCGTAAATTTTGTGGTGTCAGATGACCACTGAAGCCTGGCCCTACATAAGAGTCCCAATAAATTAGCAAACTAAAATAAATGTCCCCCCTTCATACACCTAAATACTTTCGTATAAACTACCTGCAAACAAAAATTTAAATTTGAGCTTACTTTCAAGGAGGAGGGGTTCTATCCATCACTCTCTCTTGAAGTCTTTATTAAATACATTTCTGCGTCTTAGAAAAATAAAAAGAATGGCCAATTTATTGAACCAAAATAATCTCACAGACTTAAAAGCATGCCCAGTAAGCACAGCCGTGTAAGACTATATTAATATCAAATCAAAGCAATTTGGTTACTAAAATCAACCTGGTTTGAAGTTCACAGTTGATTACGACAAAGTTTATTCATTCCTTTCTTTTCTTTCTTTTTTTTTTGTTTTGTTTTTGGCCCATATAAAAATAACATATTGCAACTCAAAGTGCATCTTTTAAAATAAACCATCAACTATCTTTATCAAATAAAATATTTACAACATTTGGTTTCTAGTGAGGAAAGCTCTTTCAGGCTATCACCATGGGGACGTCGTCAGAAAATCCAGTTATCATCGGAGCATCTTCATCGTCCTCCCCTAAAGGCAAGACAGTCTTGGGTGAGTTCCAGGGCACTTCGGCCTGACCCCAACCTCCCGCCACTGACCCCTATCGCTATATCACAAGCCTCAGCTACAAAAGTCAGCAGCAGAGCCAGCCAGGCACAAGAATCAGTGCTGAAACCAGCCCAGCTTCTGACATTCTTAGGTCACCTGTTCCCCATCAACAGGTGGCCAACCTTCTTTTCATGGTAGCTTGAACTTAACCAGAAAAGGAAAGTAAATTTAAAGAGGGGAGATCTTATTATCCATCCCGAATTCCAATGGGTGGCTTAGGCGCCCCGGTTTGAGTTATCCACACACTATGCTAGCGGTGAATGTCACCATCTGTTTCGCACACACTGGGTTGGCTGAAAAGTTCCTTCGGGTTTTACAGGTGTGGCAGGGGTACCTATTAATTGTAGTAACTCACAAGGTGTTAGTGAAATAACCAGAATTAATCTTTGACCGGCCAAAATAAAAATTGCTGGTCACAGGCATTAGTTTTTGCAAAAATTCCCCAGTTAGTAATGAGTTAAGTATATTTATTGAGTAGTTTACTCCCTCGAGGAGCATTTTGGCATTTGAGCACACATACATTTATATAAGAACAGGGACATTTCCTTCCCTTCCCCAGGTCATATACCACTGATAGGTAAAAGAACGGCCAGGGAGGTTGTGCTAGCCACGGGAGAGAGAAACAGCATGATGGGAAGGGTGATTTGGACAGAGACGGATGAAGAAAGCATGGCTTTTTGTCAGTCAAGACAAACATCTCCAAAGATGTCAGACCTCCATCTGTGAGCATTGAGAGGGGTTGGAAAGTCTTGAGAATCTGCCGCCACTCTGGGAACACCCAAAGCCAAGGAAGGGTCCACCCATCCTTTGTGTAGACGGCAAGCTCCCACTGTTCTTTGACAGAACCCCCCATCTTGGGCATGCTATCGAACAGTTTCGTTCAGTCGCTCAGTCGTGTCCAACTCTTTTGTGACCCCATGGGGTATAGCTCACCAATCTCCTCTGTCCATGAGATTTCCCAGGCAAGAATACTGGAGTGGGTTGCCATTTCCTTCTCCAGGGGATCTTCCTGGACCAGGGATCAAACCCACATCTCCTGCATTGGCAGGTGGATTCTTTACCACTGAGCCACCAGGGAAGCCCCCACTGAACTGAGGACTGGTATTTTAATTTAGAAGCAACTGCAAAGTAAAGGGCTCCAACCGATTCACCCCAAAGCAGTGGGATCACCGGCTAATGAAGAACTCTGCTGGCAACAAAAGACGAGCTACTCAAGGCAGGCAATTCCTCAGCAAACCCCTGGCCTTGTGGGGCCTGCCCCGGGAGGGAGAGCCATGCACCCCGCCCCACTCACCCAGGTCATCCCCCGAGGAGAAGATGGCCGAGCCCAGCCTGGAGCTGTAGTGGCTGTTGGCAAAAGCCGTGAAGCTGCTCTGTAGCCTCCGGTGCTTTGCGTACAGGACGGCGAAGCCGACACCCAGGCTCAGCAGGACCAGGAACAGGATGGGGACCACCACGGCAGCGACATCGGTAGATCTGGCGGCCTGGATCGCTGACGCAGAGCCACCTGCCAACGCAAGACACCAACCCGTAAGGCTCCCAGGGGAGGGCGGCAGAGAGGACCAGGCAACCCCTCACCGCCCCAGCCACCCAAATGATGCCAAGAGTCGGCAGCAGCTCCCTGAATCGCCTGTCCCATGTGGCACGTTCCTGCATGTGACACCCGAATGTTTCCCCACTCCTCACCACGAGCTGATGGAGGACAGGCCTCATGCGTGCAAATACGGTAATTACATCAGGCTCCTAATCACTGCCTCGTTGGTTATTTAGATAATCTCTTGGAAGGGAGACCTTTGTTGGGGTATCAACACTGATTTCATTAGCATTATTACTTAAGACCACTTGCTTGCCTTACATAAGAGGATGTGAAATCAGACCACTAATTAACGAGATTGCAATTATTTCCCCCTACTTGGCACCAAAGTCACTCTGAACTGCAATTACCTGAAGCTCCATTAAGTGATACAAATGAGATTCCTTTACTGCAGTACTGACTTCACAGCTCGGGAAGTTTTATGAGGTTTATTTTTTACTTAAAAGAGAAAGAGGGAATCTTTCTATACACATTTAACATTTTTAAAAAGCTTTCTGCAAAGCCTTTTGGGTGTCTATAACCTATCAGTGATGCTCCCCCTTCCCACTGTCTTCAACAAAAAATACTAGCTTTATCATGATATACTGATACAGTTGTAGCAACAGGACTCTGTTGGGTTTGGGCCAGTCTTTCTGCAAAGGGCAGATTTTGCATAGCAGAAATCCTGGGGAAAGTCTGAGCCTGCGGCAGGAATACAGTCATGTGAGTCAGTTTTAGCTAAGGATGCAAAGCGAACTTCCTTGGTCTCCATGAGAAGCCTTATGAGGCTTGATGCTGTTCCGTGGTGCAGGGTGAGGAGATGAGGCCAGTCCCCCTCCTCATGGGGAAAGTTCAGTAGTTACACAGGGGTTCATCACAACAGGTCCCCACAAAAATGAGCCAAAGAACAGCCATTTCCTGCAAGCCTGATATAACAATTCAATATCTGTGTCTTTAATTTCTTCACTATTGATTTAATACTAGACAAAACTCTCCCCAATCTCAGTCACGTGTCCCAACCTAATCTCAACTGTGAAGTGGTAAACAGGGAAAGCTCTGGGCTGAAGCGGTTAAGAGGAAGCCAGCACGGCGGAGGCGACAGAAATGGAGCCCGTTCCCACCCCCACCCACCTCCAAGGGGACGTGACCATCACAGGGCAGGATGTGGTCCACGGAAACATCTACCCGAGCAATTCTTCCACCTGACGATCCTGGTTTTACAAAGGCAGCTGGCACATGCCCTCAAAGCAGTTTTCCCCAAAGTCTATTTCACAGGTTGTTACTTGGTTTTACTTTAAAAGGAGGCTCTGCTTAAGATACACTAAGACAAGAGCTTGGTTGATTGTTTTCTGTAGGACGTTTTCAGAACCTCGAACAGGCTCAATTCTCTGAAAGGATGTGATGTACAAGTTTCCCTCTTCTTTACTTTATTTATGTATTTATTTTTGGTCACGCTGGGCCTTTATTGCTGTGCATGGGCTTTCTCTAACTGTGGCGAGCAGGGGCTACTTTCCAGTTGCAGTACGTGTGTTTCTGATTGCAGTGGCTTCTCTTATTGCGGTGGTGCATGGGCTCTGGGCACACAGGCTTTAGCAGTTGCAGCGCTCAGGCTCTAGAGGGCGGGCTCAGTAGCTGTGTGTGGTGCATCGTCTTGGCTGCTCCCAGGCATGTGGAGTCTTCCTGGCCCAGGGATGGAACCTGCATCCCCTGCATTGTCAGGCGGGTTCCCGTCCACCGCGTCACTAGGAAAGTCCCAAGATCTCCCTTTTAGAGAGATGCCAAGGAAAAGGTATTCCACTAGAAGCCACTCCAGGAAAGGTGAAGGAACAGACAACAGGTCTAACATAAGACTCTGAGCTTAAGAACTGGTTGGTTGTCGACTGGGAGTAAATGTAACTAAATAGACCAGTGGCAAAACATCTGCTGAAATCCTGGATAAGCTATTATGACCTGAGCAGAATTTCTGTGTAAATGGGAGGTTCCTCTCCCTTGCCATAAGCATGGCCCCACAGGGCTGTCTGTGAGTGTCCAGGAAACAAAGATCCCAGACTGACCTCAGGATCTGATCTGAGGATGACAGCAAAGATGAAGGGAAGGCTGGGAAGTCAGTGACGCTGTGATGAGATAATCTACTGACTTGGAAAATCATGGGGAATATTAGCATACAAGAGGCTCTGAAAGGTCCTCCAGAAAATAAAAATAAAACTCATTAAGCTATGGCTTCCCAAATAGACTCTCCTTTTTAAACAAAACATTTCCTTTCTTCTGACTTACATTCAGAATATAGTCACCTTGTAACCCTAGCACCTCACACCATGCCTGACTAGGGGAGGATTTGTTAAATAAATCAATGCCTGATTAAGCTGATGCATGAACAATTTTCTTTAGCACTGCAAGAATACTTCAAATGCATTTTTAGAAAGACACATGTTCATCAAGGATTTCCCAGGTGGCGCTAGGGGTAAAGAAACACCTGCCAACGCAAGAGACATGAGACGCGGGTTCGATCCCCGAGTCAGGAAGATCCCCTGGAGGAGGGCAGTGAAACTCATTCCAGTATTCTTGCCTGGAGAATCCCATGGACTGAGGAGCCTGGAGGGCTACAGTCCACAGGCTCGCAGAGTCTGACATGACTGAAGCGACTGAGCACGCATGCACGTGTTCATCAAACCACGCTACATCCTTGATATATTTCCTGGGAAATGGAGGAACAGTGACTTACCAGACCCCAACTCATCATAGAGCAGGACTGCAGGCTCCCCACAGATCTGGCTGCCGAAAAGACATCGGGCTTGGACAGTGAAAGTATAATTATGACCCAATTTCAAGTTGGAAATTTTAAAGAAATTGTCAGTAGTATTCCCAAGGTAAGCTGAGATATTCATGACACTATCAAACATGTGTATCTCGTAGCCCTGAAAAGAAACACAGGAGGGACTGCTCAGGAAGTTAAACAAGGAAACGGGCAGCTTCTATTACGGGTTACAACTTTATACGAGCTCCTTTCTGCAGGGACTTATAGATGTTAAAGCACTTTGAGTTTCGTACAAGTTTTTTATACATCATCACTGAGATTAGATTCAGAAAATGGGTATTTTCTCAAACTCAAAGTCTCAAATAACTACCACATCTGCTTCTGAGCCATGCAGCAGAAGTGGAAAAACAAAAGTCATTTTAACAAACACTGATTTTTCAAAGTTCTGGTCGGTTCACTCATCTCCAGGAATGTTTAAATGCCACAAAGAATCCATACAGTTAAAGCAACAGTTCACTGTAATGGGACTGGACTAATCCAGGCAGCAGTGGATTCCAGCCCTGAGGTAAAAAAAAAAAAAGGAATTTGCAATCGTGAAAATGAGACACTGCTCCTTAAAACAGCCTGTGGGAACTGCACTGTCAGCTGCCAGCTCACTTCCTAGCTCCTTTCTTTTCGACTCTTCCAAGCTGATCGTAGCCCCAGCCCAGCCTGGCCTTGAACCCAGCAGCACTGCAGCAGCTCAGATCTATTCACTGGGGGAGTATGGAATAAGCAGCCTACTTAGACTGGCTCAGGGCGAGTCCTTGGCTCCTGTGCTGGAAAAGTCCCTCTTGGAACAGCCTGGACCTAGCATGCTGGCTGGGATCAGGACTGACTTCCAGACTTCTAGGTCAGTCTCCAAGTTTTCCAGTGTCAGAGCTACCGGCACCTCCCCTGCCCCCACAAAACCCCTTCTCCACTCTATCTCTACTCACATACTGGGCCCCACAGCATAATCATGATCTCCTGGTTCTTCTGTTGACCTGCACCTTCTCTGAACTCCAAGTCAGGCAGCAGGAAGAAGGACCCGTCCAGCTTAGGCCAGAACCCCCCAGTGGGAATGGAATACTGACTGCAAGCCCAACCTTTATAAAGCTGGGCTCCTGACACCCTGATGACAACGGGGTGTCCTGGATCAGCTGCCTGGAGTCCCCGCTCCTACATCCTTGTTTATAAACTAGTAGCTAGCATTTATTATTTTCTATCTAACATATATGTGGTATAGGACATTTGCGAAACACACAAAGGTATTAAAAAAAATGGAAAATGATACAAATGCTAGCCACCCAAAATTGACGGACTGATCCTTTTCTGGTGGGCATTAGGGTGTCTCTTCTTAATTACTGTCATAAAGAAAATTCTTTATGTACATTTCTTTCCTTAGAGTAAAATCCTAGAAGAATTGCTGGATCAAAGGATGTCACACTTTCAATGTTTCTGATACCTACTGTAAGTGCCCTATAGAAGGTGGAGCCCATTCATTCTCCCAGGGGCGTCCTCTTCCCAGGGATGACTCTTACTGGTACTATCCCTCCCGAAAACTTTTGTCCATGGAGTGTGAGTGCTGTGTCTTTGCTGCAAGTTAAGATTTCTAGTGGGGCTAAAACTGTTTTCTTTTGCTCACTGTTGCTTGAAACTCTTAACTTTGTCACCTGTACCTTATTCAAAATGAGAATAAGCTGACCCTTGAACAATGTGGCAGTTGGGATCTGACCCTCTGAGGAGTCAAAAATCTGAGAATGACTTAAGAGTGCATCCTCTGGATTCATAGTTCTCCATCTTTGGATCCAACTATCTGCAGATTGTCTGGTATATTAAGTCCCCTACACACAAACGAGTTCCATTCAGAGAGTGCGTTTTTAAGTCCAATTTGTTCGTTAAGTCCAACAAAGTTAGCCTAGGTATCCGACTAACACAGCTGGCTCTATAGCACTACTTTTACGCTTCCCTCTGGACATTCCAGGGATTCCTTGGTGGCTCAGTCAGTGAACAATCTGCCTGCAATGCAAGTGGCCTGGGTTCAATCCCTGGGTCGAAAAGATCCCCTGGAGAGGGAAATGGCAACCAATCCAGCATTCTTGCCTGGGAAATCCCACGGACAAAGGAGCCTGGCGGGCTACAGTCCACGGGATTACAAAGAGTCGGACACAACTTAGCGACTAAACCATCCACAACTGGATATCCTGAGCTGGAAATAAAGATGCTGTACTATTGTACTCTATACAGTGAAAAGTGAAAGTGTTAGTCACTCAGTCGTGTCTGACTCTGCAACCCCACGGACTGTAGCCCGCCAGCCTTCTCAGTCCATGGAATTCTCCAGGCAAGAATGCTGGAGTGGGTACCACTTCCCTTCTCCAAGGGATCTTTCTGACCCAGGATTGAACCTGGGTCCCTTGCATTACAGGCAGATTCTTTACCATCTGAGGCACCAGGGAAGCCCACTCTATACAGCACTGTACGTAAAGCACACAAAAGTGCACACTCGTAGAGGATGCACATGTGACAACCACGCCAGACGTGTGGGCTAACTCACGTGACTGCACATGTGAGCCCACGTTCCAATCTTTGAAGTTCACAATCTGAAGGTTCACATGTAGGGGACTTACTGTACTGTAGGTTATCTGTGGAGGTATACAGATCAAATCTGCATTTTTCAAGGGTCGTTTTTCGGTTTTGAATTTGTTTGAAAGCCTTCTTTATACTTCTGTATATTAACCATTTATATGTCACTGTTGTGAGAGTTGTTAACAATTTTCACATTGAATTTCTCTTTGCTTCTGGCATTACACGGTGATGATTTAAAACTGTTGGGGTCTTTGTGCACATCATACCCCAAAAAAGCTGTTGTTGATTTTTATTGTGTCTCTATTTAGCTCTGCCCACAATGGAGCCAACCAGCTTCATTCAAGACCCTTGGGTGGCAAATCTGTTTCCAGGTGCCACATTCCTCCTCCTGTCTCCTGCTGTGAATATAGTAATTGGCCTGCTAATAACAAAACACAGTGTTATTCGTATGTCAGCAGACTGTCTTAAAGCACTTCCTGTTCACTGGAAAGAAACTGATGAGATTCCAGGTTGGCAGTGCAGCTCGGTTCCCCAGTGCTGAAGCCATACCATAGCCTTGCTCTCAGACTGTCTGGGAAAGATGGGCCCTGGGTGCTGGTGCTGAGTCCCAGTCAAGCCCTAGGAAGCACAGTGAGGACTGCAGCCCATTTCCCTGTCTTTCAGGGGACGACCAGTTCACGACTGAAAAGGGCTCAGTGCAGAGATTCGCATCTTTAATGGGCAATATAAACATTTGGCTAATTAGCAATCCCACCGAAAATGGTCCTTTAATTCTCACGTTCACTCCCCTGCCCTATTCTTTCTTTTGACTCTGTCTATGCCAACAGGCTGTTAACGAGCTCATCTCCAAAATGGCATTTCAATTAGATTTCCAAAGCCATTGAGAAGGAGGGAGGAACTTACCCTGCTTTCATTAAAATACTTTTCTTTCAAAGCTAGGCTTTTCCAAAACAGAAGGACGTGGTCATTTTCTGTTATGATTTTTAAGGCATCAGGTGCTAATAATGAAACTGAAAATGAAAGATGAATTAGGAGACAGTTAGTGGCTACACATATGAGTCTCTGCTTTCTTGTCCATCAAAGGTTGATGAAATAACACTAACTCTAAAGGAATTAGTTAAGGAAGAAAAAAAAAACACACATATATCCACTTAGCATAGAGCCTAGCACATTCTACACACTCTTTAACTGACATCTACTTTGTTGTTATAATTAATGTCTTTAACCAAGAAATTTGGATGGTGTCTAATTTAGTAGCCCTCAGACCCAAACATGGTCAAAAAGAAATGGCAAAGGGGTGAAGCTGGACTAGTTCAAAGCCTGCCTGCACTTCTGCTCTGGTTCCAGTCTGCCTTCCTGCCTGAAATTCCAGAGGGGCTCAGTGAGGGCCTAGAGAGCTCAGCCTGAAGACAGAGCTCCAGAATGACCACAAAGTATGTTCCAGGCCCACAGTCCATACTGCCAGCCTCCGATACTGTTACTCCTGATGTTGTCTGATGCTGTCCAAATAACTGGGCTTACTATCTGCTCTGTGAACTTGAACCTGACCTAAGCCAGCCTATGGCTGGCAGCAAATCTCCCTTTAAGGTATTACCCAACTCCTGGTCTCTATCCATTTCTGCATCTGATATTGTCCTAGAAACCACAGTGACTTCAGTCCAGGTACCCAGATGCAACGTTTGGCTTTACGGGCCAAAGATTCAGTTTCATTTCCTAACTCTCTTGGAAATATCAAAACCAGCTAGGGGAAGGGAGACCACAGGGGACAGAGAATATAGAAAACGACAGCCACTCCCCCGCCCACGGTGCCCCTGCCACCACCCTGCAGCCCAGAGTCTGGGACCCCTGACAGCTCTGCCCCAACCGAGATATGGAGGGTCCTCTCTGCACTTCCTGGGCAAGTCCTGATGGAAACCCCATGTCTTCAAGAAAATAAAAGACGAAAAACAGAAATGCCACACCTCGAGAAGTCCTAGCAGCAATGGGGTGCCCTGCTGTGTGAGAAGGCCGCTAATCTCTCGCCAGCTTACCCGTGGTAATTTTGATACTGGAGTCTTTGCTCATGTTCCCCAGCTGGACAATGATGTGATATTTCCCTCCAGGCTCCAACTTGTTCAGCGTGTATTCCACGGTACTGTTGCGGGATTTCACCTTGTAGCTCCTCTCACTCTTTCTTATTAGATCTTTAACTGCAATTGCATATAACTGGGACAAGAAAAAGACATCTTAATGGTAATCAGAAACCTAGCCTCTTCTACTCTTTGAAGTTCAGTGGTGGCCCATGCGACAGAAGTACGTCAGTGGCTGTGACCCCCAAAAATAATATTTTGGGTCACAACATCTGACTCTGGTTCTTTGGAAAGCCTCTGGGGTGGTCAGGTCCAACTTTACAACATGTATTCATGCACAAAAATGTGCAGAGAATTATCAGCATGATCCCCAAAAAAAACCCACGTCCCCGGAGATGGCAGGAATGGCAAGGGGATGGAAATCAAAGCAGCCTGGGAAAGCGAAAGTGGGAGATGTTTCTAGAATCAATGCCTCTTCTTTTAGGGTCAGTTGTTTAGCTGGTAAGTTGTATCAGACTCTTGCAACCTCAAGGACTGAAGCCCACCAGGATCTTCTGTCCATGGGATTTCCCAGGCAAGAATCCTGGAGTGGGTTGCCATTTCCTCCTCCAGGGGATCTTCCAAACCCAGGGATCAAACTCATGCCTTCTGCATTGGCCAATGGATTCTTTACCACTGAGCCACCGGGGAGCCCTCTGGTAGGGCAGGGGCCAGCAAACTTTTTTTGTAAAGGTTCAGATTGTAAATATCTTAGGCCTTGAAGGGTAGATGGCATGAACCACAATTACTCAACTCTCTTGTTTGTAGCATGAAAGTAGCCATAGAAAACATGTAAACAAACGGGCATAACTTGGTTCTAATAAAACTTTATTTATAAAAACAGGCAGTGGGCTAGATTTAACCTGCAGGCCAATTGCTGGTGAAGGCAGAGAAAAGGAGGAACAAACCAATATAGCAGCCAGGAATAACAGAGACACGACAACAAAGAGGAGATACCTATGAGGACCCTGTCTCTGGCGAGACAGAAATGGGGGGGAACCTCTTGCTGAGCTCCATGCACCAGGCCTAGGTGTCCTGCCCCATTACAGGACCCCCCTGCCCCCAAACCAAACCACATCCAGAATAAGCAAGGTTGCCAGCACGCCTGGCCTGCTCACCAGGTCCTGGTCCGGAGAATCGTACGGGGATTCCCACTTGATAACAGCAGAGGTTTTGCCCATGTGGACCACGTGCAGGTGACGGGGAGGAAGCCTGCTATCTGGGATCATCCTCACCACAACATAGTCAGAGGACGGCCCCTGGTAAGGCACCACCACCCGGACCTGAAATAAACACCACTCAAACTCACACAGTGGAAAGCAGATCATTTTTTCCCCAACAACACAGTGACACATGTACACAATTAAAATTCAGTGCATACAAAAAAGCAGAATACGTCCCCACCTACCCCAGATCTCTAATCCATTCCCCACAGACAGTACTAGTAATGATTTTACCTGCTTCCTTCCAGAAATGTCCTATGCAAATATAAGCACAAATACAGAGGGACGGAAGGGTGTGTGTATAGATACATACATACATACATGTGTGTGCTTCTGCATGTGAGTGTATGTGTAACTTATTGTCCTTAACTTTTTTATACAAATGGAAAACCATTACACACATAATTATGCTCTTTGGTTCTTTTACTTAATAATACAGCTTGGGAATTTTTCCCAAATCAGTACATTTAGTTTGCTGTATTTGTGTTGGATGACTGCCCTGTATTCCATCTCAAAGATAAGCCATAATACTTTTAACCAGTCTTCTCCTGATAGATGTTTGTTTCAAATCTTTTGTTTTCACAAGCGATAGTAGTCCAAACATGATTTTCCATATACCTTGGCACACACGTAAAAGCATGGCTAAACTCCTAGAAGTGGAATCTGATACAAGCTTTCATCTATTCCTGAGACCCATTTACCAAGTTCTCAGTCCTGCACAAGGGAGCTACCGATGGTTAAGTGGCCGTTCATTCTGTGCTTCAAGTAAAAACCTGATGCTTGTGGAGAATAACTATCCTCTCATCTCTCCTTCCCTCCTCCCACCCCCTTACACTCAACACGCGCGTGCATGTACACACACACACACATGGATCCTGGAATCCCCATCTCCAGCTCCCCAGGTCCTAGGTCTGAGCTTGGAGCCTAGCAACTAAGACCTCCTCAAAAAATAAAACATTCCTCTGTGCTCCTGGCATTAAGAAACTTACCAGAAACAAATATTGCTCGTCCCCACTGACAAGGACTGTTCTGTTGTGCTGCGAAGTAGTCAAGCTCTTGGGGTTGCGATAGAGGTCAAGAAAGGACGTGGCATAGAAGATACCGTAAACCTGGTAAAAGGAGAGAACAGAAAAGGGCACCAGTTCAACAGCCAGTGACCTCACTCTCATGAAAGCCCTGATTTAAGACCCTGGGAACCGCTCCACATGAGCTCACAAAGAAGTCTTCATTCGGCATCTATTTCATCAGCGTTTACAGAGAAGGCACCCTGGGCCAAGCAGCGGCGTCCCACCTACGGAGATAAACAAGACGTGGTCTCTGTCCTCAGAGCTCGCTTTCTTGAGGAAAGCCAGGCAAAGAAGAAAAACAGATTTATAAATAACAAGTTGTAAATACGAAACTCCTGGAAGCTATACTAGAAGACTGAATGATAAGCTGGGGAAAAGAGGGAATGACCAAGAAGTGGGGACACTCTTCTAGTGTGATGGGGGTAGCAAGTGTGCAAGCTGGTGGAGAGCGCGTGTGGAGGGACGGCAGACACTGCCGGCTGCCCAGCCAGCCCCCGTCTTCCCCTCCTCCTGCAGCAGAATCCTGGTTCTTAGTGAGAGTTGCTACCTGGAAACCTGCCTGCATCCCACCTCCTTCCACCAGGCAGGACAGGCCAGGTGACAGGGATGCTCAACAAGGTGTCAGCAGACATCCTGGGTGGGACCTCAGTGGGGGCTCATGGACATGCAGGGAGAGCACTTCTTCCTCCCTCCCGCTGCCTGGAATACACACGGTGATGTGGCCCGGTCCAAGCCCTGGACTGCAAGGTGATGCCACAGGCCAGCGTGATGTCCCCTGCCACCCACAGGCCAGGGTGGCAGGAGACTGGCTGCTGTTGTTCAGTCACTAAGTTGTGTTCAACTCTTTGCAACCCCATGGGCTACAGCACACCAGGCTTCCCTGTCCTTCACCATCTCCTGGAGTCTGCTCAAACTCATGTCCATTGCATCAGTGATGCCATCCAACCATCTCATTCTCTGTCGACCCCCCTCCCTTCTTCTTTTGCCCTCAATCTTTTCCAATGAGTCAGCTCTTTGCATCAGGTGGCCAAAGTATTGGAGCTTCAGCATCAGTCCTTCCAATGAATATCCAGGGTTAGCTTCCTTTATGATAGAAATCATAATGGTTTCATCTCCTTGCTGTCCAAAGGACTCTCAAGAGTCTTCTCCAGCACCACAGTTTGAAAGCATCAATTCTTCAGTGCTCAGCCTTCTTTATGGTTCAACTCTCACATCCATATAAGAAAAACCACAGCTTTGACTATACAGACCTTTGTCAGGAGGGACTGGGAAACGGATCAAACCATGTTGCTGATATAGAAGCCCTGATGGCTGAACTCCAAACTCTGAACAACTCATAATTAGGAGGGAAATGAACTGTTGAAACCCACTCCTGTTCTATGCGGCCATTCTTAACCCTAAGTGATATACATGGAGATAAAGCAGGAGGTGGGAGTCTGATGGCCCTTGTAGTGGGAAAAGTAATGGCTGAGAGTGTTTATAACAGGGTAAGTGTGAGGAAGCTTCCTTTGTAAGGTAGAGACAGATGGCATTTTCTCCACAAGTATATGAGCGGGCAAGACAGGGGACTTGAAAGCCGTACTAGTCTGGAGAAGCCCTGGGGGTGCAGGAAACCCATCAGAGATTCTCATGTCTCAGATAAACAAATAGGAACAGAACAGGAATAGGGGGATGAGCGAGCTCAGATGGGACAGCAGAGGGGGACCCAGGGTGCAGGCAGGTCTGACCCTGGAGAGGATGGGCTTGTGGGCAGCACATGGTGGAGGCTCCAGCCAAGAGCCAGGAAAGGGGACCCCAGAGCCTAGGGAGCCAGAGTGTAAGAAGGCCACACTTGACAGTGACGGGAACAGCTCTTGTGGTGGAGACAACAACTCTAGGTGAGACTCCAGCATCCGCAGTGAGCTGGAGACAGGTGGGAGCCGAGAGCTTCGTTCAGGGTACTCCATGGGCCCCTGACCCTTGGAAGGGTACCATGAGTGCAAGCAGACTCTCAACATGGAGGAGGCGCCTTCTCCAAGTTCACACATGATAAGACACTAAAATCAAGTCGCAGACCAGCGCTCTATAAGCAATGCCCCGCTCTGTGCAGAGGGCTGGGTGTGACCGGTAGGCAGGCCTGAGTTGGGTACACAGCCCAGAGACAGAGGCCCCTCTCTGAGGAGAGTCCAGTTCCAGGTATAATGGAGCCCAGGGGGTGGCTCTGGGCATCTCACCCCCGTCCCTGCCTCAGAGTGAGGTTCAAGAGCAACAGAAGCGCCCAGGCTGTTTCTCCGGCTAGACCTGAGCTCCGACTCAGTCTGCTGCTTACTAACCCATGACTGCGGCCCGTGACCTCACCCCTCCGAGCCGAGGTCTCCTCCCTGGTAGAGCAGAAACGTTTACCCCCCAGAGCTGATAAAAGTAGGAAGCAGGAGACCATGGATGGAGGGTGGGCATCATGCCTGGCACACAGAAGGGGCTCAACAACTCTCACCTCCCCTTCCTTCTTCACGGCTGAGCTCACAGACAATTACTGGCAAACCTTGGTTCTTTCCCCATGAACCAGTCCTGCCCCCAGTGCTTGCTGGATGTGCCCTCAGAAGACAAAGGCCAACTCCTCCTCACCAGCGAGTGAGGATTCTTACAGATTTAGTCCCATACACGTTTCTATGTGGAAAACTCAGAAAATGACCCTTCCCTTCAAGATCTTATCAACTAGTTAGGGAGATGAGAGTAGACAGAAGATACCAAATCAGATTTGCAGTGTCTATATGGCACCAACTCTAAGGATTTACTTCTTAAGGGAAGGAGACCGAGGAGAAGAACTAGGATTCAACTGCAGAGCAGGAGGGGGAAGGATTCCAGGGAGGACAGAGCAGAAGCCACAGGGCAGGGGCAGAAGGTGGATAAAAACCACCCTGGGAAGGTGTGCCTAAAAGCAAAGGGGAGCTCTGGGGAGGGTGGGGAAGCAAAACCAGACTCAAAAAGAAGCACGGATCTAATCCCAGTGCATCAAATGCATTAAAAAAATAAATAAAAGAAACAAAAAGACCCAAGTCCAAGTGCAGTGGGGGCCCTGGGATGAAGAGGGAGGCATGTCTTGGGGGGCACCTGTGTGCTTGAGAAGGCAACGTGTGTGTGGGGGATCCCCCGGGTGGGGAGGGGCGAGAGGAACCCAGGCATGTCCTCAGGTGTGATACTCATTGTCAAGGCAACTGACTTCTCACCCATCCCCAGGTAAGGACCCCCCCACCCCGCTGCAGTGCCTGATCAGGAATGTGACCCCTCTTCATACTTGGCTTAAACAACAGGGGCTCTTTCTTCTTAGATGCTGGCCAGGTTGTAGAAAGGGATGTCAGGTGCCTCTTGGAGGTGATCCAGAGCTGACCAAGAGGGTAGCTTGTGTTTGGGATAAGGAAAAAAAAACAATGACGGGGGAAGCCCTGGGGGTGTCTGGTGGTCTAGTGCCAGGGGAGGGTCCATCCTCACTCTGCAGAGGTCATCCAGGCTGACTCACCACATTCCTGGGGCCCGTCCAGGTGCATTCCACTGCCGTCTGATTGATGGCCTTGGCTTTGAGGCTCGGGGCGGGTGGGCGGACACCTCTGGTTGTGACACGCTTGAATGCCAGAGGACTGTCCCCCAGGTCGGTCTTGGCCCAGGCAGAAATCTCGTAGGGCGTATGAGCTGTCAGGTTGCCAACTGGGGAAACAGGGACAAAGGTTGGAGCAGTGGTCTTTATACGCACACTTTATCTTTTTCTTTTGCACATGTCTTTATATGTATACCTTATTTTTTTACATTTTTTTTTCCTTTTTATCTTTTGACTGTGCCATGTGGCATGTAGGATCTTAGCTCCTCAACCAGGGATCAAACTCTCATCCCCTGTGTTAGCAGCATGGAATCTTAACCCCTGGACCACCAGGGAAGTCCACCTATTTTTTTCAATGTAACCTCTCCATTTAAGTGAGTCCCTCATGTTGTAGGATGTTTATTATTTTACGAATTCCCTTGGCATGATTTATCAATGAAAACTGCAAATAACACAGTGCATGGGCATGGAAAAAATTCCTTTAAAGCTGACCATCTGTGGATGGTCGATCCTCGGGGAGAGCCATTTGGCCTTGTGAGGGTCTTGAAATCCTTCATAACCTTCAATCCAGGTACAAGAGAGGGATCCAAAAATCTGTGCAACCAGTATGTCCGTCACTGTATTTGTTTCAGCAGAAAAAAGTATAACCATCTGATCACCCAACAAGGCAGCAGTTAAATAAGGTGCATCCATGCACTTCAAGCGCACTCCCTGAACTGTCACAGCCACTAGAAGTTGTTTCCAAGAATACATACTGCAACTGGAAAATTCTGTGATTTAGGTTCAGTAAAAAAGACAGGAGATAAAAGTATATACAGTACATATAAAGAAGTCAACGAAGAGGAAAGGTACCAAGTTAGGGGATACTCCAAATTATTAATAAAAGTGGTTTCCCTAGGAAGTGAAATTATAGGAATTAAAAACTTTTATTATACGTTTTTTTGTTTTCTAAATTTTCTGTAATAAAGATGTGCCTCTTTCTAAGTAGGGAAAATGTCATCAGAAACTGAAAGGGCAGTGAGCCTTAAGAAGAATATGTTTAATGGGAATTAGACATTGTAAATGTAACGTTGTAAATCATTGTTATCATTGTAAATCAACTATATTTCAATAGAAATAAATATCAAGCAGAAAAAAAAGAAGGATATGCTAAGAGGACAGCCTTTGGAATCAAGAGGGCTTGGGTTCAAGGCCTGACTCTACGCTTCGTGGTTGCAGAAGCCAAGAATGAAGAATTCAAACTCTCCAAGCCCAGATCCTTGTTGGTACGATGTAGAAGAGCAACACTCATGGTGGCTGGCTGTGGCAGGGAATAAAAGAGAAAATGCTCGTCAACAAGTGCTTCGCATGACCCCTGGCGTGAAAAAGGGCCTTTGTGGGTCTCAGGCAATGGCTGGTAGGACTTTTCTCCCCAACTCTGCCAGTTTCTCTTGGTGTGATGTAGGGGCAATGAGATCGCAGCCTTCAGAATTAAGAGATGTGGCTTCCAATCCCGGCACTGCTGCCTTCTGAGGGAACCGCTCGATCCCTGAACCTTATGTTCTGATCCATAAAATGAGGCTATACCGCAGCATCATTTTTGAGGTGTTAGGTATCCAGTGGTCATGTATAGATGTGAGAGTTGGACTGTGAAGAAAGCTGAGCGCCGAAGAATTGATGCTTTTCAACTGTGGTAACTGAGGTAACTAATCCCGAGAATTCTTTGGGGAGGGAAAAACATCATCTGTAAAAGGTTAATCTGACTTCTTTCCAGCGTTTCATCCTTTTTAAGCCTCCAACTTCCCTGAAGAGCCATGAGATTAGAAGGGAGATTTGGGGAAGCACCCAGTGGATTCCTCACCTGGGCTCAGGAGGTGAGGAGGTGAGGCTCACTGACAGGACCCTCCATGGACAACATGGGCCCACTCAGGACAGCGGCAGAGGAGACCCCTCGCCTTTCTCGGCCCCCCACACAGGCTCCACTGCCAGGAAAGCCTCAGTCTAGCCTTCCTCCTTCCTGCTTACACACCGACCAGCTCCGGGACGCTACCTTTCTGTGACAAGACGGTCCCTCGGAAGTTCAGCGTTCTCTTCTCCTGTCTGTGGGTGTCAAATGACCAGAAGAGGTTCACCACATAGCCATTCACCTGCCAAGAATCAAGAGCCATGTTACACGAGCAATGCATACGCAGACCTCACCAGACACGAAAGGCAGAACTTTCCTGCTGCTCCTGGGTATCTCCCTTCTTAGAAAGAATGGGGCGGCCCTTTGGATACTTACATCAGTTCCATTTGTGCTAACATGAACACTCATACTCCTCCCTACTTCTAAAAATGAATGTGAAACAACTTATAAAATAAAATATAGATTCTATTGTGTATTAACATACATATATGGAATCTAGAAAAATGTTACTAAGGAACCTATTTGCAGGATGGGAACAGAGATGTAGACATAGAGAATGAACTTGTGGCAGAAGGAGAGGATGGGACAAACATATACATACTGCTGCTAAGTCATTTCAGTCGTGTCCGACTCTGTGCAACCCCATAGACGGCAGCCCACCAGGCTCCCCCGTCCCTGGGATTCCCCAGGCAAGAACACTGGAGTGGGTTGCCATTTCCTTCTCCAATGCATGAAAGTGAAAAGTGAAAGTGAAGTTGCTCAGTCATGTCTGACTTGTAGCGACCCCATGGACCAGAGCCTACCAGGCTCCTCCATCCATGGGATTTTCCAGGCAAGAGTACCGGAGTGGGGTGCCATTGCCTTCTGCGATATACACACTACCATGTGTAAAACAGAGAGCCAGTGGGAAGTTGCTATATAGCACAGGGAGATTAGCTCGGTGCTCTGTGATGACCTAGAAGGGGGGAATGGAAGGAGGGAGGCTCAAGAGAAAGAGGATATATGTACACATATAACTGATTCATGTTAGTGTACAGCAGAAACTAACACAATTATACTCCAATTTAAAAGTAGTTTTAAATAGATTCAATGAAACAAAAAAAATTAATGCAAAATAAAAGGACAAGAACCAACTAAAAAGGAAGAAAGAAGAAAAACTGTTAGTAATTAGATTACAGTAATTAGGCATCCATCCTAGATCAGATGGGCATCCCTGGTGGCTGAGCGGTAAAGAATCCACCTGCCATGCAGGACCTGCAGGAGACCCGGGTTTGATCCCTGGGTCAGGAAGATCTCCTAGAGAAAGGCATAGCAACCCACCCCAGTATTCTTGCCAGGAGAATCCCATAGACAGAAGAGCCTAGCAGGCTATAGTCCATAAGATCGAAAAGAGTCAGACACGACTGAAGCAACTTAGCACACACACACAGATGCTCAGCTCAGGCAGTCCTTGCAGTCAAGGCCAAGAGGTCACAACAGAGGTGGCTTGGTCAGATCTCACGGGCTTCTCCAGGCAAGAACACTGAAGTGGGCTGCCATTCCCTTCTCCGGGGATCTTCCCGACCCTGAATCAAATCCAGGTCTCCCGCACTGTGGGTAGGTTCTTTACCATCTGAGCCACCAGGGAAGCCCCCACTGTCTAACAGGAGCAAATATATCCACGAGTCAGGAAAGACTGTCTCTAAGTCCCGAGCTCACGGAAGGATTTTATCTAAAGGGCTTTAAAAATATTAGACAATGACCAAATTAAAATGTGTTCAAAACCAAAGACTAGAGAGACAAGGTCTACGCAAGGCCATTTCCAGCATCAGCGGTCCCTGAGGCCAAGGGCGTTGAGACCATACTGCAGCTCAGTCAATGGCACAAGGACTCTGCATGGCTTTGGTCCCACCACAGCTTCACAGACTGGGACGGATGTGAGGGAAAAGAGACAGAGAAAAACACCATGGAAGGTGAATGGCAACTTGAGAGACCAGGGGACACAGATAACTGCGGGGAAGGTGGCCACGCTGATGGACCAAGCAGAGGGGATGAAGGTGCTGGAAGGGGAAGGACACTGGGTGCACCATAGATGGATATGTGTCCAAGGCATCTGACTCTCCCCTAAGACTCTCCTCCACTGAGGGAACCTCTGCATTAGCGCAGCACCAGGAAATCCAATAAAGCTGAAAATTACAGGGCAAACATCTTCTGTTAACACCAACTCTTTATTTGCACTGTAGCTGTGAACCATTTAATTATATGGTTTAAAAAAAAAAAAAGGCAGCAGGCTGAGGCAGAATAATTACATGGAAAGACTTCAGTTGTTCTTCGTGGGGGAAGAAGCCAACCTAGGTGTGGTATTTTAGCTTCGCTGGAACAAGTCATTCTTTTCTCTTAATCTCCCTGTCCTCTGCTCTATCGGTTCCCATGCAAAGGAAAGCCCCACCCGACTGCTGGTTTGAAATGTCCACGTTACCTTGATGTCCGTGTCCATGGAGAGGGTAAAGCTTAGGAAATTTTCACCGTAGCTGTCAATGCGGATGTCTGGTGGTGGGATCACTGAGAACAAAAAAGGGATTCAAAGAGAGAAACCATGTGATGAAAAGTGAAGAAGGCAGGACTTCACAGTTTTCAACTCAAGGGACAAAGCGATCTTTCAGTTGGGAAAGAAAAGGCATTGCTTTGGCAGTTCTGACTCTTCTATCGCTTTTACCACTGTTGTCCTGAGGCTGGGGCTGGGTCCACAGTTGCCTGGTGAACACAGAACTATCTCGGCTGGGTCAGCTATCCTGGCAATTAGGTCGAGCAGAAAAGTTCCATTATGTAAATGCCCCAAGCCAGCCCAGCTTCAGCCTGGTTCTGAAAAGTCTGGGGGTCACACTGGGAACCATCTTTACTGGCACCAATGAAGTCCCAGTGGCCTCAGGTCCTTTTTGAAGGTTGACAGCATGCTAAATCTTAAGTCCTAACTTGTAGATGTATGTGGGACGAAATGGAAAGAATCTGGGCCCTGGAATTCAAATTCCTGTTGAGACACTTAGCAACTGTGTGCCCTGGGGCGAGTTACCTGTCCTTGCTAAACCTAGAGATACCATCTGTACTTCACAGAGATGGCAAAATTCACTAAAATAACAGCTGTCTTGATACTCAAAGTTCCCGTTCTCTCTTTCCAATAAAGTCCCACCCAAGACAGATTAAAGACCTGATGAGATACTGGCATCCTCATAAAGACCAGAGCTTGGGACTTCCCTAGTGGTCCAGTGGTTAAGAATCTGCCTTGCAATGCAGAGGATGCAGGTTCAATCCTGGTCAGGGAACTAAGACCCCACATGCCACGGAGCATCTGAGCCCACGCACTACAACTAGAGAATCTGTGTACCCCAACAGAACATCCTGTATGCCACAATGAAGACTCCATGCTGCCTAATTAATTAATTCATTAAAAAAAAAAAGACAGAGCTCAGCCTGGGAGCTGAAGGGGCAAAGAGAGGACAGCAGAGAGAAAAAGATTCCTCTTGGTTCAAGTGAATAGTAGCACGCTGGTCATTCTGAACGTCTTCCCACCAGAAACCCAACAGTGTGCTGCAGGTGTAACCTAAGAGGGCTTGATGGGGTCAGCATCATCAGAATGTAATATTCAAATGGATTAGATTCTCAGCACATACGCCTTTTATATCAGCAAGGCAAGAAAGACCCAAAGGAGTAGCTAAGACTTGGTGGCAAAGAGATGGTTCAAACATTAAGGAGTCTCTCTAGATGTTCAATAAAAGTGGGCTTGAGGAAAACACAGCATGCAGAAGAAGAAAGGGTATTAGGAGTTGCAGGCAGCCAGCTCAGAGCAAAATAGTTCAGGTGCTGCTATAAACCTGACCTGGGCTATAATCACAGTGGCAGGAGTTACAGCACAATCCTCTCCAAGTCCCAGTTTCCTCAGCTACCAAGTGAGTGTAAGAATACTTACAGGGTTGATAAGGATTAAGAGAGATACATTCCTATAAAAACAAGCTGCAAGGTGCTTGCTGCAGTGCTCAAAATATGGTGGCTGTTGTTATCATTAACCCACTGTGTCCACTAATCACAGTGGTGGATTCGGGGTGATGCTCCTGCTGTTTCAAACCCCATCTTCTTACATTACTAGGACCCGAGGCCACAGACAGATCATAACACACGTTTTTTGACTCTGCACACAGTGGCCTTCTAACCAATACACGTATGAATTGAGGTTCAGCCTAAAAATCATTGCTGTTGCTATTTATTCGCTAAGTCACGTCTGACTCTTCGCGACTCCATGGACTTGTAGCCCACCAGGCTCCTCTATCCATGGGATTTCCCAGGCAAAAATACTGGATTGGATTGCTATTTCCTTCTCCAGGGGATCTTCCCGACCCAGGGATTGAACCCAGGTCTCCTGAAAGAAGCAACCCCCAACCACTGAGATTTTCAAATTCAGGTGTGAACTGTGACGAGGAATTCAAGATGCTACCTGTTTTTCTGATGACTTTTCAATGTCCCTCCTTTTCAGTAGATATGGTCAGTATGTTCTGAGTGATTGTAGAGGAAAATAATACCACAATCAAAACTCGAGGGGAGGAGCTTCTTTGGCGACTCAGTGGTAAACAATCCACCTGCCAGTGCAGGAGAACAGGTGTTCGATCCCTGGTCCAGGAAGATCCCACATACTGCAGAACAACTAAGCCACAGCTATTGAGCCTGTGCTCGATAGCCCACGAGCTGCAACAACTGAAGCCCATGTACCCTAGAGCCCATTCTCTGCAACGAGACGCTACCACATGAGAAGCCCAAGCACAGCACCATAGAGTAATCTTTGCTTACTGCAACCAGAGAAAAACCCTTGCAAACAACAAAGACCCAGCACAGCCAAAAATAACTAAACAAACAAACAAACAAAAAACCCCACAACTCTAAGGAGAACAATTCTAGGTGTTCACACTCAAAGGTGTGAACTCAGCACACATTTTCCAATATGTACAATCTCCCTGCTCCACGGACTGGCTGGCTTCACAAAGTTCAACTTGGCCCCTGCCCTGACCTCAACCACCCACCCCATCTTTTTCAAGGCAACCAGACAGTGACTCTCCAAGACCCAGAGCCTATTTCTCACAGGCTCAGGTTAAAGCAAAATCCTCCGATCACGTTCCTGGTGGCATTTCCAGCTTTCGTACCCGCCCGCCAATCCAGAAATGAAAGTGCCCAGGCTAAGATCAGGAAGATGTTGGTGCATCTCCCATAGAGCGCCAGAGCCTTCTGCTCACTTGCTTCACTTCCCTCGCTCATCCGTGATTTCATCGGCTCCTACCCCACTCAGAGGATGGGGTGGCAGCACGTGTGAGGCACACGTGCCAAGTAAGGAGCCCTGCCCAGGAGGCAGGCCCTGCAGTGGTTCTGGAGTCAGCAGATCAGGTTCCAACCCCAGCTCTATGTGCAAATGACACAACCTTTCCAGTCCCTTATCTTCCTTATAGCTGTTCCTTGGGCTCAACAAGATAAGCTGGTATAAGCAGAGCAGCTGGCATGACAGCCTTCCAGGTCCAGGACTTTGATCAGCTCCAGCGACAGAAAGATAGAAACTACCACCTACATGTTGTTGGTGGCTGCCCCAGGGTACTGATGAGTGTAGGCATGGCACTCTCTTATAACACCCCACAGACGAAATGGACAAGACCATCTTTATCTTGGCTGAGAAAAGAGAACACCTTATGTCATGGATACTCCGCCTGAGAAGCAGAGCTGGGCATGACGGCCTTCAGAAATTCACCCGTATGCTTTTGTTACAACAGATGCTCAGTTCTATATAGAAGGAGGAATGATCGATGGTCGCCCCAAAAAGACTTCATGTCTAAAGCACAACAGAGACACCCAGAGAAGTTCACTTGTTGTGGGGAGGGAGGTTGTGTGAACTATTCTGATCGGTGCATCTTCATTTGCCAGTCACACAGAGCTTTTTCTAAGGGCTTCTGTCTTCTCTAAAGCTGCAAATGCTGGAATCATTTACCTTGTCCTTTTATGGTGGTAATGGATTTAGAATCGCTCCAATTTCCTATTCCACGACTGGTCACCGCAGCCACCTTTCAAATCAGAGTGTGAATTAGTATGAAATAAAGGCAACATGCCACACAGCGAGAATCCCAAGTAGGTAAAAGGGGTGAGGCTTTGGCAATATGGGTGGAAGAAATACACACAGAGGGATGCAAGATAGTCTGAGGTGCCTGCAAGGGAAATAAGACAGGGAAAGAGAGCACAGGAGGGAACCAGGGGAAGGAATTGTGACAAAGCTGAAATTATGAAATTTCTGTTGACTGATAGGTGTCAAAGTTTTTCTAAAGGGCAGAGGTGTGAGAGGGAGTGCGTGCATGTGTATGTCCATATATGTGCATAATCATACACAGGTATGAGACTCAGTGTCAGGGAGCTTGCGAATGCACTGAATGGTCTCAAAACATGTTTTGCACAAACTCTCTTTTCTACTGAAGATGTTGACAATCTATTTCATAAGAACTCCAGAAGATCGTTTCATAAATGCCACTTATCACAGCTCTGTCTGTCCCTGCAGCTAAAGACAAGCAGAAAAGAGGTGGGTGCAAAAGAAATTGAAACTGGAATGCTAGCAGAATATCTGGGTTAACAGCAGGGAGAGCTGCATTAATAATCAATTCTCAGTTATTTGAGTGAAGGCTGATTTTGAGTTCTCTATGGGGCCTTGGCTTGAGAGACTAAAAGAAAACATGAGCTCCCAGAGAAAGGGGCTGGGTATCGAGCAGACCACTAGTCAGCACCTGGTAAAAGAAGGCTCAGAGTTCTCATGGAGTGCAACTATCTCCCCATGTTCCCAGGCCACCCAGCCAGATGGCTGAAACGTGTGTGAACACTCACTCTGACCGTGTACTGAGTGTTGACCAGTAGGTTCCTTATTTCTGTAAAGTTGCTAAGAGCTCTCTGGGAGGCCCACATCTTGGAACCACTCCTGCTGTATTCTACCTAAAGAGAGAGAAAAATAAAAATACTAATCCATGAACAGGTACCAAAGGTCTGGGCATCATAACACCTCACAAAAAGGCAGGAGGAGAGAGGGGAAGGTGGGATGCAAAGTGTCCCAGATGGATGATTATTTATAAGGCAGTACCAAACCAAGTCCTCATCACACAGAACACGATTCTGCTCCAGGAGACCTGGCCATCTCCCACGCTCAACCACACACACTGCCCGCACCTGGGAGGAACTTACAATGTACTCCCGAACGAGGCCATGGGTGTGGACGGGAGGGGCCCAGTGGCCCATGATCACGCCTTCTACTTCCCTGTGGAGTGACAGCTGGAGGTTCTGAGGAGCGTCTGGCACTGGAAAAGAAGCCACGGGGTTAAAATCCATCTGCATCCTTGTCAACTGGAGGAACTTCTCTGAGCTTAAAACACACACAAGAAAGAATCTGGGGCCAGCAGGGAACCTGTGCACCAGAAAGGGCTGTGAGCTTGGTCTTCCCGCTGATGGAACATCTTTCCTCCCTGCTGTCCACCTGTCAGACCAACCATGGCTCAGAGAGTCTGACGCAGGCTGGGGGCTCCTAAGGGCTGCAGGACGGAATCACCTGAGTAGGTTAAGTCAGCACTGGCCCTGGGCTTCCAGGCTGAGATTTTGATTGTCACAGGCAGCTGCCCTGAACTCTCATATTTACATATATGTGCATGGGTGCTAAGTCGCTTTAGACGTGTCTGACTCTTTGTGGCCCTATGGACTGTAGCTGCTGTCCATGGGATTCTCCATGCAAGAGTACTGGAATGGGTTGCCATGTCCTCCTCCAGGGGATCTTTCCGACCCAGGGACCAAAGCCATATCTCTTATGTCTCCTGTATTGGCAGGAGGGTTCTTTACCACTAGCACCACCTGAGAAGTTCATTTATATATGTGTGTGTACACACACACACACACACACACACACACTCACAGATGCATATATATACATATACATTTATATGTATATACACATACATACACATGTATGTTTTAGATTCTTTTCCTCTATAGATTATTACAATAGACTAAGTATAATTCCCTGTACTATGCAGTAGGTCCTTGTTGTTTGTCTGTTTTGTATACAGTATTGTCTGTCTGTTAATCCCAACCTCCTAGTTGACTGTTCTTTGTTCATAAGTTGATAAGTCATAAGTCAGTAAGTCAGGTCAGACTCTTTGTAACCCCATGGACTGCAGCATGCCAGACTTCCCTGTCCTTCACTATCTCCTAGAGTTTCTTTAAATCCTTAATTTATGCCTCCCCTCAATTCTCCTTAGGTAACCATAAGTTTGGTTTCTATGTTTGTGTGTCTATTTCTGTTTTGTAAATAAGTTCGTTTGTACCACTTTTCTCGATTCCACATATAAGCGTTATCATGTGGTATTTGTCTTCCTCTGTCTGACGGCCTTCACGTAGTAAGTACGTCCTCACTTTCTGGCAAGACCATCTTCTAGATCTCCTTCCCCAGGCCTGGACTTCTTCAAGGAGCCCTGCATCCTTTCACTGAAGAGCGGTGTGAGAAACCTTGATCCGAGTGGCAGGTGAGCTCAACGCTATCAAAGTTTTTCTGGGCCTTCCCAGTTGAGGAAACAAGGAAATGCATGCAGTATACTAACCTGTGCAGATACACACACCTATAAAGACTTTATGTGTAACCACATGCATGCACATTGAGATAAACATGCGTTCACATTAACATCTCCAAATGTAAACACGGCTCTGATGGCAGCTGAGAATGAAAAGTTCACGAAACCTGGGGAGCAGGGGTCACAGGAACAAGCGCAGTCATCCAATGTCAACTACTGTGAAGGAGGGAGGAAGTAAGGAACTCTCTATGACCCTCAAGCTTTGGTAAATTTCTTTATAGTATGCCCAAAATACTTCTGACACGCTTCATATGTTAATGATGCTGATCTCCTAAGCACTAAATACTGGGAAATACCTAGAGACCGAAGGCAGAGACAGAAATTAGATAAGAAATGCAAAAGAGGGCAGGGATGGGGAGATCAAATTGTGGGGAGAGAAAAACATTATGAATGGTGATCGGTTTGTAATTACACAAATATCGAATCACTATGTCGTACATTTGGAACTAACACAGTGTTGTGAGTTAACTATACTTCAATTTTTAAAAAAAAATTGTGTTAAGATGTCAAAAACAAATGTATGGTTACGAAAGGGGAAAGGGGTCAAGGGATATGAGGGTTTGGGGATTAACAGATATACACTGTTCCACATAAAGTGGCTTCCCAAGTGGTCCTAGTCATAAAGGACCCGGCTGCCAATGCAGGAGACATAAGAGACATGGGTTCAACCCCTCGATTGGGAAGATCCCCTGGAGAAGGAAATGGCAACCCACTCCAGTATTCTTGCCTGGGAAATCACATGGACAGAGAAGCCTGGCAGGCTACAGTCCATAGGGTCACAAAGAGTTGGGCATAGTTGAAGCAATAAACAAGGACCTACTGTATATCACTGGGAACTATATTCAATATCTTATAATAACCTATATAGAAAAGAATCTGAAAAAGAAGGGATATGTAACTGAATCACTCTGCCGTATACCTACCTAAAACACTATATATCAACTATACTTCAAAAACCAGAATTGTGTTTTTTTAAAAAATTACGTGATATAACAAGGAGAGTGACTCAGACAGGTCTATAAACTTAGGCACATAGACAGCACATGTAGTGATGCTGCCTTGTTCCTGAGCATCCTGGGAAACTCTGAAAATGCACAGAAGGGCTTGTCCCTGTGGCACTCACATCCTTCGGGAGTCCTCAGGGTCACGAAGTCGTTGGTACTGTGCACCTTGCTCAGACACTGGACCTGGACTTTGACCTGATATGTGGTGTCTGGCTTCAGGACTTTCAATACTGTGCTTGTTTTATTGCTATGGGTCTCCAGAGTATTCCATATGCTCTCTCCAACCACCCTGGCCAAGAGAAGAAACAGAGCATCGCATCAAAGCAACATGGGGTGGCCAAGATGTCTGAACCCATCAACGGAGTTGCTCAGTACACACACAAGAGTTTATGGAATACCCGCTGGCAATAAAAACATCATTTTCTTCTCCCGTGGCAAAGAAGGGACCCACCTGTAGTAGACGTTATACACACAAGAAGCAGAGGGCATCTTCTTGGGCCGTATCCAGGTCAAAGTTACATCCCCAGAGAAGTCCGCTGTCCATTGAAGATTCTGTATTTTGTATACATTTAATTCCTCTAGAGAAAGAAAAGGTGGGGGGGAAAGCAAATGATATCTTAAAAATCCTTGCATTTCAAAGGACCTAGGAGGTTCCTTGGTTTCAGGCAGACCTACTGGGATCTGCATGGTCTGGCCACCATCATTTTAAAACACCCCAGAAAAAAAAAAAGAGTTGAAACCTTCCTATCCACGCTTCCCCAGGGTCTCCTAAGTTTCCAGTTGTGATATTTCTCCTTGCATTTCACCTCCTTGTCTGCACTGAAACAAGCCTGATTCTCAACAGAGACCACCACAAATCCAAGGACACGGTCATGGCAGGATCTATGACTGCTTGAGACTGAGATGCTTGTATGCCGCAGGACCCATATGCTGATGCCTCAACCCCGATGTGATCGTGCTAGGAGGCGGGGCCTCGGGAGGTGACTAGGTCCTAAGGACGGAGCCCTCGTGAATGAGGCTAGTGTTTTCATAAAAGAGACCCCAGAGCACTTCCTTCCACCAGGGGACAACACGGAGAACATGGCTGTCTGTGGACCCACAGGTGGGCCCTCACCAGACACCGAATCTGCTGGGCTTCAGTCTCAGCTTCCCAGCCTCCAGAACTGTGAGAGAGAAGTTTCTGTTGCTTTCATGCCACCCCGTCAGTGGTATTCTGTGATAACAGCCCCCAAAAATTTGCTAAATGCATTTCCAGACAGAAGGATGGAGTTCACCCCACCGCAAAGCCTGAGGCACTGCAGGAGCAGCAATGCCTCAACATGAAGTGGTGATGGGTTAGTCGCTCACTGGTGTCTGACTCTTTGAGACCCTGTGGACTGTAGCCCGCCAGGCTCCTCTGTCTGTGGAATTCTCCAGGAAAGAATACTGGAGTGGGTTGCTGTGTCCTCCTCCAGGGAATCTTCCCAACCCAGGGATCAAACCTGGGTCTCCTGCATTGCAGATGCAGATTCTTTACTGTCTGAGCTACCAGAGCAGCCCACCAACACAAGGACTAAAGCAAAAAACAAAATGAAAACCCCAGTCTCGACCAGCGTCTCCCTGAGAGGGGCGAGGTGAGCTGGAGGCCGTATCAGAGGTGGGACAGGCCTCCTCTGGAGCTCCAACAGTGAGCGAGAATCTTGGTGTTTTCAGACTGAGGCAAAGCGCGAAGAGGTTCTGCCCTGGGGCCAGCCCAGCGGGGTGCAGGCCAAGCCCGGGGTCCGGGGGGCCACACTCACCACTGCAGGCGCGTTCGTCGCTCTCGTCCGAGCAGTCCAGGAAGCCATCGCAGCGCTCGGAGAGCATGATGCAGGCCTCACCGTCCTGGCATTGGAACTCCAGGGCTGTGCAGGTCAGGGTGCTGCGCGTGGCTGCAACAAGCGAGGGGCCACCGTCACCGAAGGGTTCCCAGGTTCTGGGAAAGGGAACTCGTCAACTAGCGCTCCCGCCCCATGCAAACATGCACACGATGTTCCATCCAACGACTCTATCCACACGAAAAGGAGGACAAACAGACCCCTAAACCAGGGTGGTGATCCAACACCAGAGAATCTACTAACAACGGGTCTTTACAGTCTTCTGCGGAACTTGAGAAGCACAGAGGTTTGCTCCAGACCTACTGAGGCAGAAACACAGCACAAGCTCCATAGTGATCCCTCAGAACGGGCCAGCCCTGAGGACTTCTGTTCCTGAACAAGACAATCTGCTTTCTGGCTGAGGCACTGCACCCACTTCTGAAAACCACACGTCAAGATGTAGGTAGAGAAACCAGGATGGTCAAGAGGAATAGGTAAAGGGTGCTGGGAGCTTTTCCTAGGGATGGAATGACACAGCGTTTGGAAGTGGGGGGGTGGAGGCTGAATAGCAGTTATAAATAAATAAATAAAGTGGGTTTCCCTATACGAAGAAGGAGCCTTCTGTGATGTGTCTGGGATGGAGGTACAGAATTCAGTTTTTCAAAAAAATTCCCTAACACAGTAATTCTCAATGGGAGAAAGAAAATATCAAACCACTTGTGAGACTTTAAACAAATTGTAACTGCCTTTCCCATCTCCTGGAGAATCACTGGATTGTATGGTTCCATTAGGTTTGTGCTTTTTTTTTTTCCCCCTTTGCTAAATTAAAATTGGTTTGCCAGGGGTAGCTTGATGGAGGGCTCGGTTACATGAAAATCTGCATCAGAATATTTAGAAAATAATTTTTTATTTTTTTTATTATTTATTTTTATTTACTTTGGAGTGCATTTATTTACTTTTGGTCTGCGTTGCTGTGTGGGTTTTTTTCTAGCTGCTATGAGCAGAGGCTACTCTCTTAATTGTGTGCTCAGAATTCTTACTGCAGCGGCTTCTCATGCTGTGGAGCACGGGTTCTCAGGCTTCAGTAGCTGCGGCTCTTGGGCTCTAGAGCGCAGGCCCAGCAGTTGCGGTGCACGGGCTTAGTTGCTCCAAGGCACATGGGATCTTCCCAGATCAGGGATCAAATCCATGTCTCCTACACTGGCAGGCAGATTCTTGACCACTGAGCCACCAGGGAAGCTCTTACAAGAGGTTTTAGAACCACTAGTGAACAGCCTCAGAAGCCCAAGCTGGGATTCATCCACCCATTTATCTATCCATCCATCCATGGAACTTTTAGGGAGGTTCCATCATGAATCAGATACTGTTTAAGACACTAAGGGTACGGTGATATGTGAAACACAGGACCTACCTTCACAGAGCTTACTGAGAGAAACAGCAAACCAGTAAACAAACAAATACATTATTTTAGACAAGGATAGAATTACAAAGAAACATACTGAGAGTAACTGGAAGAGAGTGATGGGGATTTTATACAGGAGAGTCAGGCAAGGACTCTATGCTCAGAGGGGATTGTTACGGAAAATACCAAGATCCCCATCACAGAATTACCAACCCCCACTCGGTTAAGAATGTGGTAAAATATAATGAAAAAACAGATGAACAGTAAAGCTGAAAGATGTCTGAGGTTTCTTTAGGAAACATCTCAATATTTTCAAAGGAAGAAAACATGGTTTTTAGAAACTGGGAATAAGGTTGTCTGAAAATTCTTAAACTGGTTCTTAAACTGATGATTAATGGACACTTAAAACAGAATGTAGTGGCCTCCAGGGGCCAACTTCTCTAAGAAGAGGCATGTCATGCTAATCTCATTTCCTTTGTTGATGGGGTTATCCAATTAATGGATTGAGGAAAACTGTAGATAGAGCACATCTTGATTTGAAGCCGCTTAACCAAGCGGCTTCCTTATGTACAAGGCAGATTTGAAACAGGCAAAAGATATTTATTTAAAGAATGCCCATTAATGAATTAATCTCACCAGGAGGAAGGTCCTATTTCATTTCCTCTTTGTTAATTACGGTTAATGTTCTTCGTACAGTACTTATCTGACTCAGATGTTGCTACCATGATTTTGGTGACTGTTGGATCAATCTGCCCTGTTATCTGAATGTCCCAAAGGTCCACTTTGTTCAGTCTTTTCATGTAAGTGCAGGATTTTACGCTAATCCCCATTTAATTTCTCTGTGTTATTTTGGAGTATTCCTCCCTACAAGAACTTTCCACATGGTATGATGAGATCACAGTTCTGTACAAAGGTAAATACTAAGTAAATGCCCCGATGTGCTGCAGACGAGGTGACCCTCTTTGAAGCTTAACTTCCCAATCTCTAAACTGGAGGTGTAAGGCCAGAATTTATTAACACGAGACACAAAGCAGAGGCATGAGCTGTCCTGCTCTCCCGGAGCCTCCCCGGGGGCAGACGGCCCTGCCGAGCACTCACGGCAGTTGGCCTCGTCCTGGCCATCCTGGCAATCCCGGTGGCCATCACAGCGCCTCCAGTTGGGGATACACTTCTTTGGCTGGCGGCACTCGAACTCAAACCGGTCGCACCGCCCAAGCTGGGTGGGAGTGGAGGCAGCAGTCACACTGGCTAGAAGACAAGGTTTTTTAAATTCGCTTTTTTAGTACCGAGGCCAGCAACAGTGACCTATTAGATGTGCTGGCGATGTCGGTGCTCTGGGAATTTTGACAGGAACCCAAACAGACATGTGAGCTCTGGTGAAGATGGCAGGTTGATAAGACACAAGCCTCTTATCCCGCTTCTCTCCCAGGAACCCCCTGATGGAGACAAAAGCAACATTTTGGAAGCTGGGAAGCCGACAGACAGGGCTGAGTTAGGCTGTCACGGGAGAAAGCTAAGCTTCGTTAAGACCAACTTCACAGAAGCTGCAAACAAACTGGAAAATGGTATCCTTGAGAAAAAAGGGGGAAAATTATACAAGGGAGCCACTGAAAGATGCTGAAGCAGCAGGGAGACTCCCCACTGCCCCGCCTCAGTATCCCCAAGACAACCAGTCAACCTGTCATTCACAGGGGGAGCTCCCGGGCTCCAGGCAGGAATTCTGATTCTGCAGTTTTATAAATATAGAAAAAAATATATAAATACATAAGATATTCTACAGTTTTTACAAACGACCCGTGATTCCACTACAGGTGCTGTTCACTGTACCACGAGAAAGAGTGATGGCATATCAGCATCCCATGCTTCTGTCTGCCCTGAGGGGCAGGGGGCTTCACAGAGGGCAGGAAGGGGGACGACGTCAAGGAGGACAGAGGGGTCCGATAAGGGCAAAACTCCTGCTGGAGGAATCTAAGTGAAAAGAGGCAGGTCTGTCCACGGCGAGTGAGGAGCCCAGCGTACGAAGTGAGAAGTCATGGCAAGCACAAAGGGTCTAACAGGGCTCAAAGAGGGCCTTGAAAATAGGACTCAAGGGTTAGGGTCTATCTTCTGGACAAGAGGACAAGCAGAAACCAGTGATGAGTCTTTTAAAAAGTTACTTTTTTTTTTTTTTAGATTTTTTTATGTGGACCATTTTTAAAGTCTTTATGGAATTATTATAGTGTTGCTTCTGTTTTTTACATTTTGGTTTGGTTTTTGGCCACAAAGCATGTAGGATCTTAGCTCCCTGACTAAGGGATTGAACCAGAGTCCCCTGCATTGGAAGGTGAAGTCTTGACCAGTGGACTGTCAGGGAAATCCCACCAGTCATGATTTTAAACAGAGAAGAGATGGGATGAAAACAGTCTTAAAGGAGGAAAACCAGATCTAGGAATTTGCTGAAAAGAATTACATAAATTGTGGCAAGTGATGATCTATTCTCTTATTATAACTGACTCTGAAATGGAAACCTGTTGAGAAAAAGACATAGTTCTGCCTGCAGTTGGGGGGGCGCCTTGACAAGGGTGTCACGGTTTATCCCAGCTTCCAGCAACAAGGTGAAAGCACAGACCTCCAGGTGCCTCGCCAAGTTGAGCCACTAGATGGCACTGCTTACCCTTCTTTAATAGGATGGCTGCCAACTAGCAAACCAGACTTAGAAGAGTTTAATACAGAGACCTTCCCTAAGATCCCCATGGTAACCTCCTGTGAGAGGAAGCAACCTCAGTGGCAAGCCGGTCCCTGCAGAAAGACAGAGGGCAGTGAGGGAAGATGACTTCTGAGTGCCCAGGGATCTCCCTGTTCTGGAGGTGAGAAGGGGCCTGGCCACAGAGCAGAGTCCCCAAGGGCAGGGCACTGCCCTTGGCCACCCAGGGTGCAGCCTCAAAAGACAAGTGCTCGGGCGCTGGTGCACTGGGATGACCCAGAGGGATGGGATGGGGAGGGAGGTGGGAGGGGGGATCAGGATGGGGAACACATGTAAATCCATGGCTGATTCATGTCAATGTATGGCAAAAACCACTACAATATTGTAAAGTAATTAGCCTCCAAATAATAAAAAAATTTTTAAAAAAAGATACCCCAGTATAGGGATGGGAGAGTGGGAGGTACAAACTGCTGAAAGTAAGTTAGGCTCAAGGATGCAGAGTATAACACAGGGAATATCACCAATATGTAGTAAATGTAAATGGAAAGTAACCTTTAAAAATGGTATAAAAATAAAAAACAAAACAGAGAGGAAAGAAAAGATCCTGTCCTTGAAGCAGGTGCCCCGGGTCAGGGCCAGGGCCACACTCACCGGGCGAGGGGCAGGCCTCCTCGTCAGAGCCGTCTACACAGTCTCGATATCCGTCGCACACCCAGCTGTCCATCACGCAGGCCCCACTGCTGCACCGATAGTAATTGGGCAGACACGTGGAGGGCCCGGGAGTGGGGGTGGGAAGAACATGTGAATCTGAGAAAACACCAGGCAAGGAAACCCAAAATGTTACAGGAAGCTTGAGCTCAGACCCCGAGGTGTCCCAGACCAGTATGATGTGCCAGGTTCAGCTGCACAGCTGGGGGATGCTGGCACTGTTCTGGGCAGTGGCTCATCTAAAAATCACGTATGGAGGGGTGTCAGGACAGAGTTCCCTTCCCTCCTGTGGAGCGGATTCACCTCACCTATTACACTTGCCTTGGGCTAGTATTCAGATGCGCCTGCTTCTGCAGGGCCTTGTGCAGGCTGGTGGAAGGAAGGGGACTCGGAAGGCACAGGGCAGATGGGAGAATTAATTCCTATCCACGTTAAACCTGTTGTGGTTCACTCAACCCCAACCACCTCAAGAGCAGCTGAGGGACAAGAACACCAAAAAGGAACGGGACGGTCCTGTGTGCACCCCGGTGGCCGCCCGGCGTGTATCACGCACACATGTACGCATCATGGCCCACGTGTCACCCAGAGCGCCTGTTACAATGCAGGACACACTGCAGGAGGGAGGCCTCGGGAAGGGTCAGAGGCTGCCGTTCTAACAAGGAGCTGTGTGTCTGCAGCCCACACTCGTGCGGCCAGGCTCTCAAGTTCCCACTGTGCCCTGGAAAGAATAACCCTGACAACAGGAGAGGCCAACTGTGCCGATTTCATAATGGGAGGGGGAGAGAAAACAACTCAGTTACCCACCCGACCCACCCACCCAAAATCACTGCCTAAGCCAGACGCTAAAGAGATAGGTGAGTTCTATGCGGTCTGGGCGGCGGGGCCGTCCCCGACCCTCACCTCCGCAGTCCTTCTCATCAGACCAGTCCCCGCAGTCGTTCTCCCGGTCGCATTTCCACCTGTTGGGGATGCAGTGCCCATTCTCGCACTGGAACTGGAAGTAGCGGGAGCAGGTGGGGGCCTCGGTGGGGTTTTCTGGGGGATGAACCGCAGGGTCAGTTGTATGGCCTGCACGGCGTGAACACAGAGCTCCAAGGAACCACAGGTTCCTCACCCAAGCCCCAGGGCAGCCCGCGCGACCCTCCCAGAGAAGGACAAGGCCACTTCCCGGACTGGAGGGAGACCAAGACCATATCCACAAACTGGACAAAAGCTCGCCTCCCTGGACCCGAGGTCATATTCTCTGATCTGTGCTTCTACATCTTGCAAATGACACTGAGTGGTTTTTTTTAATATTTATCCTTTTATTATTTTACTTATTTATGTGTCTGCACCAGGTCTTAGTTGCAGCACATGGGATCTTATAGTTCTAATCTTATGTAAACTCTTAGTTGAGGCATGTGGGACCTAGCTCCCTGCCCAGGGATGGAACCTGGGCCCCCTGCATTGGGAGCACAGAGTCTTAGCCACTGGACCACCAGGGAAGTCCTGATACCCAAGTTTGAATTTCGATAGTCCAGGAAAGGAATGACCTAACTGTTGATGATAACCCAATGGTAACAATGATTCCATCAGGCTGTGACATCTGAAACATTTAGGGGGCGGGGGAAATATACTCCAAAATATTTACCATAACTCCTCTACCATATTCCTTATACACAATGTCAACTTCCTAACTGGAGAAAGAAAATAGAATAAACATACCCTAACCTCTGCTGGTGGAGAAGGAAATGGCAACCCACTCCAGTATTCTTGCCCAGAATATTCCATGGACAGAGGAGGCTGGTGGGCTACGGCCCATGGGGTTGCTAAGAGTTGGGCATGACTTAGTGACTAAACCAACCAACCAACCTCTGCTAATGCGGTAGGTTCTCACTTTAAGACTCAATTTGTTACATGCAGATTCAAGACCTGGAAGGGACTACGGCTGAAGAGGGAGAAGGCAAAGCCAAGCACCGTGTGACCTGGAGCCTGGGATGCCTGGGGGCAGAGCTGAGGTCTCCTTACCACAGTTGGCTTCGTCGGAGTCATCGCCACAGTCATCCATCCCATCACACTTCCAGATCAAACTGATGCATACTCCATTCTGACACTGGAAGCTGAACTCGTCACACACCTTGTGGAACTCGGGGTCTCGGGCTAGGGAAGGAACCAACCTACATAAGTCCAGATTACTTCCACACTGGAGAGCTCAATGTGGCACTGTTGTTTGGAAACAAGAGGTGAGAACAAAGGCCCTCCACCGAGAGATGGCCCAGCTAGCTAATGTGAGGTCATTAGGACGGAGCCCCAGTCTAACAGGACTGGTGTTCTCATAAGGAGAGTAAGTGAAGACACAGACAGAGGATGGCCGTCTACAAGCCAAGGAGAGGCGCCTCAGAGGAAACCAACCCTGCCGACACCCTAACCCCTGATCTGCAGCCCCCAGAACTGTGCGAGATTAAGCCCTCCCGGCCCCAGGCTGCGGTCCTCCATTTGGGCAGCCCAAGCAGACTGATGCGAGTCCCTCTATCATGCAGGCAGGGCAGTCTTGGGGACAGGGCTGTAGCCGTGAATGAGACAAGGACCTGCTCTCAGGCCAGCTGGGGGAGGCAGCCCACTGAATAACTGCAGTGTGCAGAGTGGAGGTGAGTCGGGTACAGACACTGCAGCAAGGTGAGGCGGCCCCTCCGGGGGCACAAGAAAGGCTGCGGGAGGAGGCGACACGTGGGCCAAGACCACTGTCAACCTTGATCCCCACCTTGAGCTGTGCACCAACAACTAACAAGCAAGCTTCTGAAGCAACCAAGGTGAACCTTTCTTGGAAGAGGCAAGTCTGGACCCTCAGGAGACCTGAAAACTGGATGGAGACATGTGCCCAGGGGGGCCCAGCCCCCGAGTCTCTCCAGCGCCCCCGACTCACAGCATCCTGCGAACTCCGGGTCCTCGTCAGAGCCATCCCGGCACTGGATGATGCCGTCACACACCATGGACTGGAAGAGGCACTGCTGGCGGTTCTTACACACAAAGTCCATGAAGCGAGTACACAGGGGCTCTGAAAGGGACCAGCGAGGGGAAGGGGCCGTGAGCCCCTGGAGCTGGGGACCTTGTGGGCAGGACATGCTCTGACCGGACGCACGTTCAGGAGGCGGGGGTAACGGGCACCACCACCAAGCAGGAGCTCTGCGCTAAACCCTGAACTTCAGGACCTCGTTAAACTCCCAGCACAACGTGATGAGAGGGTTACTGTCCCGTTTCCCAAATGAAGCGCAGGGGATGGCAACGTTATGCATTTTGCCAAGAGCACATGGCTGATGAGGGTGGAGCCAAAACTGAAACCCAGAGCTGCCTGACATCACAGCCCACGATCTTAACCACTATCAACCTAACACTGACTCTTGAATATGGGGCCTGGTAAACTCCTTCTATGAAGGACTGATGTTACCCACTAAACTGTACCTGCCGCCAATTTATATGTTGAAACCCTAATCTCCAACGTGACTGGATTTGGAAAAAGGGTAATAATTTTTTTTTTTTTTTTGGCTGTGCCACATGTCATGTGGGACCTTAGTTCCCCGACCAGGGCCTGAACCTATGCCACTTGCATTGGCAGCACAGAGTCTTAACCACTGGACTTCCAAGGAAGTTTCCTGATAGAGCTTTAAAGAGGAAATCCAGGTTAAGGAAGATAAATAAAGTTAAAAGGATCTATAGGAGTGCTGTCCTTCTAAGAAGCACCAGAGATGCAGGCAAAGAGGCCACATGAGGACATGAGAAGAAGGTGGCCTTTACACCTGAGTTGCCACACTAACTCGTCCTTGGATCTCCAGCTTGCTTTTCCCAAGGATGAGCACCACGAATCCCAGACTACGGCACAAAAGAAAACACGGCACACAAAGGGTCAACCATGTCAAAAACTGTTAGCCGAGTGATAATCAGCAACTAGCAAAACCACTGAAGGAGGAGAAATAAGTGTCCAATTCCAGATCACTGGTCCATTCGCAGGACATACTGCAGCTGAACAGTGATGATCGTGGACCATGACCTAATTCTATGGTCACCCGCCACGGCCCCACATCCTCTCCTTCACCCAAACCACGCCTCTCTGCCTCCACCCCTCTCAGAGTTCTGGCCAAGCAGGACCTGACGCAGGCAGGTACCAGGGGAGGAGAGGATTTAGCCCAACGTGAGGACTCACCGCAGTGCTGTTCGTCCGAGCCGTCCGAGCAGTCGTGCAGACCGTCGCAGTGTTTGCTGGATGGGATGCAGGTGCCATTTGGGCAGCGGAACCCGTTGCATTTCTTCTCTGGAAAGTGGTTCAAGGAGCAGCAGGATGAGGAGATAGGCAGACATTCACATCACCGCAGTGCAGATATTTATACCTACATGTGTGTCTCCCTATGGAAGGCTATCACAATTACAGATATACACATACTGTGACCCAGAAATGTAATCTACCCACACGATGGAAAAACAACAGAGGAACAAGCTTATGCATGCAGCACTGTTTGTAATAGATTGAAAACCACCTATGTATCCATCCGCAGGAGACTGTGAAATAAACTACTGTACACAGGAACACGAGACTGCTATAAAGAGGCTGAAGAAGCACTCGGTAAAAATATGTCCTAGATAGACATCATCTGAAAAACCAAGGTACCAAACAATGTGCATGGCATACTACATGTGTAAAAACAGGACTAGTACCTGTCATATATTTAAATCTGCATGTATGCACAGAAATATTCTGAAAGGATACACAGCAAAGCCGGGAAACTGGCAGATGGGAGAAAAACATTTACTGTTTAATCTCCTTATACTTTTTCCACTGTGATCCATGTGAACGTGTTATCTACTCAAAACATTTTTTTTTTTAATGAAAAGTAAAACAAAAGCACCAAGTGGGTGGGAAAAAGGAGGACACGAACCCTGATTTTATAGACCCTGGGTTTTTTTAAGCTCTCTTACATCACTCACCATTTTAATTCTTCAGGAATTCTAAACCAAAGCCCTTTTGAAGAAACTTTTACCCCATAAATGTTAAGAATCTTAGGTTTTGCACTTAGTGTAGAATTTTTAGTACTAGGTTATCCATTCTCCTGAACAGAGAGCAACTGCCAGACATTTGGCTTAAACATCACTTCTAGTAGGTCAGTTGCAAACCCAACTCTTGGCAGAATAGTTTCAGGAGGATCAGGGATAAGGCAAGAAAATGTGTTTTAATCCTGTAAAAAGTCATCATCCCCAGGACATTGTTCAAAGGACATCGAAACAGAAACAGTAATTGAGTACCACGAGATGGGGAAATCGATTTCAGCATAAGAAGGTTTTTCACAAGTATAAAATTTAAATTGTACAAGACAAGTTACCACTCACTCAAGTCAAAAGATAAATTCAAGGGAGGCTTGGGGAAACATCCAATATGTTACTAATGGAGATTCTTTTGGTATAATCACTTGGAAATAGAATCTGGAAACAACAAGAACTGTGGAAATGGATCAGAACCTGTAACCCAGCACTTCCATATGGAGGGATACACCCTGGGAAGTAGCCTCTCAAGGGAAAACTAAGCCTTCATTTCCAAGGACACGGACAGTCTTCAGGACACATAACAGTGCGAAACTGACATTACCCAACCAGGAGCGCCTAAGTGAACCATGTCACAGCAACAGTACAAAGAGGGTGGGCAGTGGCCACGAATATGCTAACTGCAGAAAAACACAGGCATACGGAGACATCTTCAACACTGCACCACGAACAGAGCAGAACATACAACAGCATGCAGACGATGGCTGCGATCCCATGGAAATCAGGGATGCGAGTTATGAAATAATGGAAACTACGGATTTTCTCTCGGCCCTTGGTTTCTGGCATAAGGCTCCTCATGAATGAACATGCTCAGTCAGTCGTGTCCGACGCCCTGGACCCACTGACGCAGCCTGTCGGGTCCCTCTACCCATGGGATTTTCCAGGCCAAGAATACTGGTAAGGGCTGCCATTCTTCCTCCAGGGTTCCTTGTGACCCAGGGACCGAACCCACATCTCCTGGTTGGCAGGTGGGTTTTTACTGCCGAGCCACCAAGGAAGCCCAGGATTAACATGTACACACTACTGTATATAAAACAGGTAACGAACAAGGACCTACTGTATAGCACAGGAAATTAAACTCAAAATTCTGGAATAACCTATATGGAGAAAAAATCTGAAAAAGAATGTATGTATATATATGTACAACTGAATCAAGCTCCCCTGGTGGCTCAGAGGTAAAGAATTCACCTTCCACGCAGGAGACAGGGGTTCGACCCCTGGGTTGGGAAGAACTCCTGGAGAATGGCAGCCCACTGCAGTGTTCTTGTCTGGAAAACCCCATGAACAGAGGAGCCTGATGGGCTACAGTCCATGGAGTTGAAAAGAGCTGGACATAACTTAGTGAGTAAAGAACAAAACAGAACCACTTTGCTGTTCACCTAAAACTAAGACAACACTGTAAACCAGCTCTACTCCAATACAAAATATATATTTAATTTGGTGTGAAAAAGCATCTTATATATTATGTTTGTGTGGCAGCTATTTTATGCTTAATTTCTATTAACTATCTCAGAATCCTTCTTTAAATCATCTACACTGAAGAAGTTCTAGCTTATGAGTGGTCCCCATTTTCCCAAGGGCCCATCACAGAAACCCCTGAGCCATAAAGTATGCCATTTATACAGAAACTGTTGGCTAATTTCTGGCAGAACACTGGTAATGGGACCCTATTTAGTGTTCTGGGGGGGGGGGGGCAAGTGGGTTTCCCATTTCTTTTCTTGTTTTTATGGCAGCAACCTGATTGCACAAGAATTAATTACAGGACTTGCTGGTGGCTCAGTGATAAAAAAAAAATCCACCTGCCAAAGCGGGGGGACACGGGTCCGATTCCTGGTCTGGAAAGATTCCATATGCCTCAGAGCAACTAAGCCTGTGTGCGCCACAACTACGAGAGTCCACGGGCAGCAACTGTGGAAACCCGCACGCCTAAAGCCTGTGCTCCAGAAAACAAAAGAAGCCACTGCAATGAGATGCCCATGCACCACAATAAAGAGGAGCCCCCACTCGCTGCAACCAGAGAAAGCCTGTGCAAAGCAATCGAAGACCCAGTGCAGACAAAAATTAATAAATAATAATAATAAATAATTAAAATCACATAGCCCCGGCCTACATGTGGAACAGTAGCGCCACGCAGAAAGTGAGAGCTCAGGAGTGTGCACCAGGCACAGTGGCGACACTGGCCCCTCTCCTGGCCCATCCGTTGCCCCTTTTCCTGAAGAGCAGACACGGGAGACGTGCGGGCTGGGGCCAGAGCATCTGCACTTACCACAGTTGTCCGGATCCTCGTCAGAGCCGTCTTGGCAATCCATGTCACCATCACACGCCCAGCGCTGGGGGATGCAGTGCCCGTTTCGACACTGGAAGTTGGAGGCCTCACAGGTGTGATAGATGGCTGCCAGCGAAACAGGAAAGAAAAATGGTCAAGGCCTCCTTCACCTCCGTGGCCCCATCATCCTCAGGGGCCGACTGCAAAGGAGGAGCATTCTAACAGGTCTAATAGGTATGACGGGGCACTACCCTAAAGGCAGAATGCAGCCTCCTGAAGGGGCATCAGCTCGAGCCTTGGTGTTTATCAGTGTTACACAAGCACAGATGTACACGTTAAAAACTCAGTCACTTTCACAGCAACCTATGAGATCAGTACTCCCCATTTATAGATGAGAATGAGGTCTAGGACACTCAGAAGGTCACCGAGAGTAACAAAGATAATGAACTAGTAATAGCACCAGGCTGTCCAAGTTCAAAGCCTGGGCTTCCTCCAGTCCACCAGGCTCCTTAATCTTCTCACTCCTCCAGATTCTGCTGGACAAGAACAGGCAGTGGGTACTTGGGGCTCTGGGTCCTAGACCTGCTCCAGACACTGTAGGGACCTTGATGTCATCATCTGCATTGATATCTAAAGAGCCCTGTAAGTTGTGAAAGGCCCTGATTTTATAATTCTAAATGAATTGCCCAATTTCATAAGTGGAAAACCTCCAGTCCAAAGAGTATAAAAGATCCATCTAAAATCACAAAGAAAGCATGCCTAAAAACCTAGAATTCCTTAACTTTCTGGACAGCCAAGAGTGACATCTACCAGCTAATAATACATGGCATCCTCTACAATCATGAAAAGAAAACAAAAGGCCAGGGAAATAGTCACTGTTATAACTGAACAGGCTCATTTGCATACACGGGCTGAGGCCACCTGGAAGTCATTTAGAAAATGTCAAAACTTCAGTCAGACTATTTCAGATGCATAGTATCTGCCTGCATCCCAAGCGACACAACTGGCCGCCTTCTCCATCAGATTTCCCTTCCCTCCTCGGATGCAGAGAGCAGTTTGTGTCTGTTCACTGCTGAATGCAAGGCAGGCCTGGCCTTGTTTGCAACCAGCATGAAATAACATAACCAAGACAGACGGGCTCTCTTGGTTGAACTGTGTGGGCAGGGTGTCCTTGTGACAGGAGCAGGCAAAACAAACAAACGTGGGTTGCTGAGTGCAAACCATAGTTACCTATTCAGTTGAGATGGTTGGTAATAAGTGACTCAAGGGTTGGGAAAATGGGCTTCCAGTGCCCTCTAGAATTGCTACTGCATTTGAGGCTATTTGGGGAAATAGTTTGAAATACAGAGTCCCTGATTTTTCAAACCACTTCACAACAAAAGGTGATCCATCGTCTGTTGTCTTCTCAAAGACCAATGCTATGTCCAGTCACATGCAAATAAATCTACAGGAAGTTTCAATATTTTACAATATTGGCACTCAGGATCCATTAAACATCTTTATAAAATACACTTATCTCTGATAAGAAAAATAAATGTGTCCCTGCATGTTAGATGAGCTTTGCCCTGGTAATAGCCATTGCCTGGAATACTTCTGATTTATTGGCTTTATAAATCTGATAGCCCTTTAAAAAATTCCTCACCAAAGCCTTGCTTGCTATCATAAAAGATACTGTCACCTAAACCACCACCATATTGAAATACTCACTATTATTCGGCCTATGGATTTCAATTGAAAACAATTTCAGAGTGCTAATGGAGTTTCCAAGTGGACAATGCTGAAGGGCATGTTTGACATCTCCAGATTCTATCACTGGTGCTGAGCTGAGAAAGACTAATTAATTTGCACAATTTCATTCAAGTGGCCAGGAAGGGCTGGCATGCTTAACATAGTCTCTTTTTCTGTCTTCTGAGTAACTTACTAGCTCTCTGACATTGAGTGTCTGATGAATGATATATGTTCAATTGATAATATTTAATTGTAACGATGAAAGAGATGGACTTTAAAATAGACTAAAGAATTTGAGGCAGATAAAGAAGAAACCTTTGCATAGCAGGGTCCATCATGACTGTAAGAATAGAAGGGCTAAAGGGGCAAACGATCATGAAATTAAAATCAGGGTTTCTAACAAACGCCATTACCCTCCGGCTTACTCTTTGACATGAACACATCTCTCCTGACTCGGCAAGACCCTCTGTGACACCTGATCAAAAACATTAGCCAAATAAAAGTGCAGCAGAAGAGATAAGTTAATTACTATGACAAGAAAAGCACTGCCTTATTATAAAGCACTGGACTCTCAGAAAATGAAGGAGGGAAAAAAATGCTAGTATCAATACAACTCGAATGATTAATAATGTAAAAAATAACATAAAGCATACAGGACAGTAAAAAATAAAAGGCAAATTTGAAAAAAGAACCAAATAGAAATTCTCGATCTAAAAAATATAGTTATAGAAATAAAAACAGCTCAGTGGACGTGTGAAACAGGAGATCAGATTCAGCTGAAAAGAGGAATGTTGAACTGGAAGAGAAATCTGAGGAAATAACTCAGAGTCATAAGGAGACAGCAAATCTAAAAACCAAAGGCATAAATATCAGAATGAGAAAGTCCAGCAAATGGCTGATAGCTGCTGCTAAAGACAAAAGAAGACAAAGTAGCAAACAGACATAGCAGAAAAGATAGTGGCTGCAGCTTCCTAGAACTGATGAAAAACATAAATCCTCAGATTTCAGAAGGACAACAAACAGGATAAATAAAAATAATTTTATGCCTAGGTAGGTGAAACTGTAACAAACAAAATATAAAAAACCTAAAGGCAACTAGAGAGAAAAGAATGTCAGTTATTATTGGAACAGATAATCTGACAGAAGAATTGAAATCAACACAAAAGAAGCCAGAAAGAAATGGAAAAATTCCACCAAAACACTTAGGGAAAATTACTACAAATCTAGAAAACCGGCTGCATCAATTTCAGTGTTGAGAACTAAAGAAAGACATGTTTATATAAATAAAAACTTTAAGTTTACTACTCATAGACTCTGCTACAAAATACTGAAGGATGAACACAGGAAGGAAGCAGTAAACACAAGAAGGTGAGGCGACAGGTTTCTATAAATAAGTTTGGTTACTAAAAGATAATAATGATGACTGATTTTAGGATTTTTTAAATGTAAAGTTAAAATATGAAGTATTTCACGGTTTTATTTTGTGGGTGGGGGCCATAACATACAGCATGTGGGTTCCTAGTCCCCCGACTAGGGATTGAGCCCGAGCTCCCTGTGTTGGAAAGGTGGAGTCTCAACCATTGGACCGACGGCCAGGGAAGTCCTCGTGTTTTAAAATACTAAATATATACTAAGTTTGTCAATATTGACATTATGGGCAGAGACTGGAATCAAGGCAGGTCCAGGAGAGGGGAAAGATATTAGGAATACGCATTAAGATGTCTAGGGCAACAGCTAAATGCACAGAAATGAAAAGTTCCAAATCAACGCAGGGGGAGGATAAAAGAAACTCAATTCCATGGAAAGCAAAATAAGGAAGGGGAAGAGCCATGAAAAGGCCCAGTACAGACCACGCATGAGACCTGAAGCCCAGAAGAAGTCAGCAGGCCTTGACCCACTTCTTTGGCTCTGTGTGACTTAACTTACTAGGCCAGGAAACGAAGTAACCACACAGTGAGCTCACATACCACCTCCAACTAATCTACGGATGAAGATGGACAATCGCCTTTAAAAGGTTTGGAAGCACAGCCGTTGGAACAAGGTTGCAGTGGCCGTGTAGGCACTCTACATTTCCCCAGGCAGCCCTGCCAGAGGAAACGAGAGAGAAAACCTGGGTCAGTGACAAGCCTATCCACAGAAATGAAGTTGTTAATCCACTGTGGAGCACCAGCTCATGCAGCTGAAACACAAGTTTGACGAATGTGGTTGTGCTAATAATACATCCAGTCATCATGAAACTTACAAATGGAAATGCCCAGAGGCACCCCTCTAATTTATCAATCAATGACCCACCCAAACCCAAAGCTTCCAAACAGCCCTTGTGCACTTTCTGGGCTGATGGCGGTTCCTTCCAAGACCTTGTTTATCCCTCCTTCTGCAAGCCAGGCTTTCAAAGAAAGCAATACCTGCAGTCGTTCCAGAAGCAGAGGGGCACACAAGACTGAGCCAGAGATGACACAGGCATGGGGAGTTAACGAGCTGGGCAGGAATCTGATAACATCACAGATCACCCAGTGTGGCATATTTGGCCTTTGAGTAGGTCCATTTATTCCTTAAAGCCACATAAAGTCACCTCTAAAATGGAGTATTACAGTTGTGTCAAATTACCCAATCAACAAAGGTTCTACGAACTGGGCATTGGGAGAACATAAAGGAGTAAAAGACCATTTCTGTCCTTCACAAACCAAATCTAAACCAAAGCAGACCACGAGAGTGCGATATAATGGCAGGTCTACTTTTTTCTTTTTTGCTTTTAGAAATTAGGAAGCATGCTCTAAGATCCCAGCTGCTGGACAGTGTAGGAACTGCCAGGATACTGCTGGGGTAAGGACAATTAAGATATGGGAATGAGGGACTTCCCTGGTGGGCCAGTGATTAGGACTTGGCCTTCCAATACAGCGGGTGCAGGTTTGATCCCTGGTCAGGGACCTAGTATCCCATGTGGCCAAAAAACCAAAACATGGGACAGAAGCAGTGTTGTAGCAGATTTAATAAAGACTTTTTAAAAAGGTCCACAACAACAAAAAATCTTTAAGAAAAAAAAAAAGGGAATGAAAAGTGATTTAATCCACAAGCGTGAAGACCCATTAACAATAGATGACAAAAGGAAGCCTGAAATACCAGATCTGCCCTCACTTGCCACAAAAGGGTTAAAGGAAACATCTTTATCACCAACACCGGCGGGATTTAAGGTAGAACTGAGTGACAATTTCTAAAGGAGGGAGCAGACAAAATTTACTCATCAGCTAGTAGGATTTGTTTTTCTGCCTCTACAACTGTCCCAACTCCTTGCTCTCCCCAACTCCATCATAATGTACATGCCCTCATTTGTTCATTCATTCATTCATTCACAAAAAATAGTGGCGTGAACATAAGTGAACCTAACACCAGCAGAAGAATTAGAATCTTAGACCACTCAGCCTTCTTCTCAGTCTCCTGCTGTTTCCAACTTTTATCTTCAATGAAATCTTACCCCAAACAGGTGCAAGCACAATTTAAGTTTTCACTGTTTAGGGAACATCTTGATGCTCCATTCCAAAACATGAGCTAGTTCACTGCTCCTCAACATATGGTCCCCAGACCAGGGGCCAGTCTGTAAACTCTTTGCTACTGTTCCTAGGAAAATAAACTTGAGCCAAAATGTAAAACAACTGTATCACTCATGACATTGCTCAGTTAATATTCTTCCATAGCAAGACTTTCTCAATGAAGGAAGCAAAGAACTGGTAACATTTTGGCACAAGGTGATCACAGACCAGCTCTTAGTTTCTAAGGTCCATTTCTTAGAGCCTTGATTCTGTGATCATGTAGGGCTGTAATGCTACCCACTATATGAACAGGTTAAGTGCAGCTCAGGGAGTCCAGGAAATACTGACCAGTACAGTTGGCTTCATCAGACCAGTCCCTGCAGTCGTTATCCCCATCGCACACCCAGGAGGAGCGGATGCACATGCCAGAGCTGCAGCTGTATTCGTCGCCCCGACACTGGTGCATTTCTGCAGGTGAGACCACAGACAAGGATGTGAGCACAAAAGCTTGCTCAGAATTCTGTCTCTGATGTCAGGGCTCCTGGTAGTTAGAGATGCACCCAATATCCCCATCATCACTGATAATCCAGAATTCACGGAGGAAGACTTAAACCAGGGTGGAAAATCATCAGGAATGGTGCCTAAGTATAGCTGGCCCTCTGGACCTGTTGGTTTTGCATCCATGGATTAAACCAACCATGCACCGTATATTTCCCAGGTAGCTGAGTGATAAAGAATCTGTCTGCCAAACAGGAGACTCACATTCAGGCCCTGGATTGGGAAGATGCCCTGAAGTAGGAAATGGCAACCCACTCCAGTATTCTTGCTGGGAAAATCCCATGGACAGAGAAGCCTGGCAGGTACAGTCCATGGGGCCACAGAGTCAGACTCGATCTAGTGACTAAACAACAAACAACATCATTGGGTACTACATTATGATCCATGGTTGGGTGAATCTGTGGATGCAGAATCCGTGAATATGGAGGGCCAGCTATAGGACTTGAGCATCCATGGATTTCGGAACCTAAGGTGGGTCCTGGCACTGATGCCCTATGGATACCCAGGGACAACTGCAGTGCACTGTGAACGGGGCACAGGTGTGCTGAGATCCTGACACCTCACACTCAAGGCCTCTAGGCAACAAAGGTATTGTCCATTTTTCTTGGTCCACTTTACAAATATTTTCTATGTTTCCCTGATGGGCAGAAGGTTGGGGAAGCAATGCTCTTGTTGCCCAGAAAGCCACAATGTCAGAAGACTTCTAGAGACAGAACCTGTGGTTTCAGAAAAGGAGTGATGAGAACCTCCAAAGTGCAGATCAGTGTCAGGTGCTCAGCTCAGGAAAAGCAAGTCCAGTGCTGAGCTCTCTGAACAGAGAGGCGGGGGACTTTCCATGAGCAAAGCTCCAGGGATGCTGGCTGGTGGGCTGTCTCGGGGAGGGTGGGGGCTGGAGGCAAATGAACCCGGGCAGCCTGACCAAGACAGGAAAGGCGGCTGTACTGGCAGAATCTTATGTAGACCCTGGGGACAGCAGCAACAGAGGACTTTCACACGGAACTGTAAAGAGTCCAGGAAAACGGGAGTAGCCAAGACGACTGGGGTCCCAGGGTGGCGGCCTCAGTAAGAGAGGCTGATGGTGAACTGGGGAAGCAGATATTCACGGGGACACAGTCTGGAGACTCTCAGAGAGGACCTGGATCTGAAGAGGGGATCACTGAGACCCCGAGATGGATTCAGGACGCACCAGCATGAATAGGCCACAAGCAGAGGCTCTGAGGGACAGACACTGTTTAATGGCCAAATGTGTGTCCAGTGACGGGCTGAGAGGACACCTGATAAATGTGTGACCACGTGGTGATTCCTCCGAGAGAGCAAAGCCGGCCACACACCTGTGCCCTCAGAGTGCCTAGGGGACAAGGGAGGGATGAAGGGAAGAGTGTGAACCCCAAGGACTGTTTCCTGGAACTGTGTTTTACAAAGATGAAGGAAAACGATGTAACCACCCCCAAAAAAACTGCTCTGAAGGTTCCCCTTATTTCAGTCCTGGTGAATCAAACCCCTGCCCGTGGTGACGCGGGCCCCATCTGGAAGCACAGGCCCAGCTGAACTGGACCTGCCCCTGTGGACACACAGGGACCCCACGGGGCCTCACTGAGCCTTCATAGTGGTGGGGTCAGTGTCTGGGCCCCAGGCTGACTCCCCTCCAGGCTGAGACACTCTTGAGTATTGCACTGTGTTCCCTCCCACAATGGTCAGCAGCTACGGGCTTGGTACCAGAGCCCAGCAACTAAGACAGGCCTCCTAAAACTGACAGGAGAGCATTATGCAACAAGAAGGGCATACGAAACACGGTTCCAATTCCCTTTTCTGACACAAACTAACAGTGTTCTCCTGAATAAGCCCCCTAACCTCTGTGGATCGCTGTCATTTCACCTGGAAATCAAAGGAGTGAAGTAGAGAATCCCACCACTGCTTCAGTTCCAACACACTGTTTTCCTAAATAAAAATTTCCATCCAGAAAACAGGTGCTCAAATAATATCTATGCCATCTGCTGACTTCTAACAGGGTTTCCTGAATTACATGAGTTTAAAAAAAAAGAATTCACAAAGGTATAGCTCTGGGTTTACAAGAGGCTCATCTCACAGCCACCCAGAAATGTGGGCTAAGGTTGTAGAGCCGTTAATAAACACCTGAATTCATTTAGGAACCTTCCTTACTCGTACACTCGTGTGCACAGAAGCACTGCAGAATGACGGGAGTTCTATCCCTTTATGAATGAATCACTCCTACCACGTGTATGGAGCTGGCCTTGCAAATGACATCACAAATCCCACAATGATATTCAGAAACCCTCCCTTTCCATCCCTCCCCATGAGCAAGAGTGCTGCCCCTTCTGAACATCATGCCCCCTTACCACAGTGACTTTCATCGCTGTTGTCGCCACAGTCATCCTCAAGGTCACACTTGTAGGAGAGGGGGATACAGGTCCCAGACTCATGGCAGCGGAACTGGGTGTCCAGGTCACAGACAGTGGTTGCTAAGATGGGAAAGAGAGACATCAGGCTCATTCGATCCAATCAGCTCCCCCCAAGACATCCCACTGGAAAGTGATGGAAGCAGGTTTTCATTGTAATATCAATTTCAACAAGAGAATTGAAACCTCAATGTACAGAAAAACTTAACTGTGTGATAGCCTGAAATTTACAGCCAAGGGACATAAAGGCCTATCCTTCCGTGGACGGCTTCCAGATGCCAACGGGGCTGGGGAAAGTGAGAAGCCGTCGTCTAGCTGGGAGATGGTGTGGTGTACTCGATAAGCCCCTAGGACCACCCCCACAGATGTGATGGTGTCGTTCTAAATAACTAGCAGATATACCATTATCTGGAAAACTACCATTAGGAAGCCCACTTTGACCCACAAAGCTGGCCCCTCACCACACAGATGACAGAGAGAGGGTGGAGAGAAAGCCCTATAGCAGGAGCATGGGCCCTGCAGTCAGGCGGGACTGGTTTCAAATCACGGCTCTATTTCTTCCTTCAGAAATTAATCTTAACCTCCCTGAGCCTCAGTTTCCTCCGCAGGAAAAGGAAGATAAGGTAAAGTGAGCAGGCGCTTGTGATGACAAACACAATGACCAGAGATTCGGGTTAATTCTACCACCCACAATTCACTCTACCCAACTCCTCTGGGCCTCCGTTCCTGCTACTGTGAAATGGGGACAATACCTACCCTCCTGGCATTACTATGAAAGTCAATGAGCAAACAACTTTTGGACCAGTGCCCATCATGAGGATGAAATACTATGGGCTCCAAACAAATGTAACTTCTCTTCCCATCCATCCTCATGCCCTTCTGCTCAGAATGTGAACATAATTTCTCCCTCTTCTCAATAGAAATGATCCAGATTTAGACATAAGCTATAGAACCTTGCAGAAAAGGCTTCAGGAAAGAAAGCTGCTCCCAGGAATAGAACAGAATCCTGCAAAGAAAGTGGGGGTGGGGTGCCAGGAAGTGAGAAGCGGGTGGCAAGCCCACAATCAGACGTCCCTGACAGCTCTTATTTGAGGCTCCATTTCTTCTCCATAATTGAGCTCATGGTGGGAGGCAGGGGATGAATGCAAAAATGACAAGACTGCAGGGGGTTTACGTCAAAACCCCCAGCGACTGACAACCACCCAGGGCAGGAGCCTGCCAAAGAGGAAAGGGGATCTGCCGACAGAATTCCTCCCACACCTGCCTTTATCTCCACGCCTTTCCTCTTCCCTGGCAGCTGAAGTGGGGGGGGCCTCACTTAACTTCCAGACTGCGCTGCCCAGCCATGGCCTGGCCCCTCCTGTAGGCCTGCCTGGACCAGCGTGCCTCTCATCTCCTCCTCCCACCTCCTCGTTGATGACAGAGACCCTCAGGAAGGCTCAGACAAGCACTACTCTCCTGGCTCCCAGGCTCCACATTTCATCCCCTGCATCCCTCACCTCCACCACATCTGACTAGTTGGGACCCGAGCACATGGAATCATGAGAAAGCAAAGCAGAACTGATGCTTTCAAACTGTGGTGCTAGGAAGACTCGTGAGAGTCCCTTTGACTGCAAGGAGATCAAACCAATCCATCCTAAAGGGAATCAACTCTGAATATTCATTGGAAGGACTGATGCTGAGGCTGAAGCTCCAATACTTTGGCCACCTGATGCCAACAGCTGATTCACTGGAAAAGACCCTGATGCTGGGAAAGACTGGAGGCGGGAGAAGAAGGGGATGACAGAGGACAAGATGGTTGGATGGCACCATCGACTCAATGGACATGAGTCTGAGCAAGCTCCAGGTGACAGTGAAGGACAGGAAGGCCTGGCGTGCTGCAGCCCATGGGGCTGCAAAGAGTCAGACATGACTGAGTGACTGAACAACAAGAGCAGAAAGCAAGTCTCGGGATCTTGGGAGGGTCAATTACAGCTGACATTTGCACCAAACCAGGAGGAGGGCAGAGCTGGCTGCAAAATGCAGCCCAAGGAGAAGCTTAAACTCTTCAGGGAAACCTGCGAGCTCAGGGGCTAGCAGGGAGGAGATGGAGGGAAACTTCCTAGCAAAACAGTGAACCAACATGCAAGCCCACCACGTGCATCTAGTGGAAACCACAGCCCAGGGACCCAAGAGGAACTCCTTGCCAGTGGACATGAGGCCATTTAATCCATAGCTCTTTGCTTCCACTATGTCTCATCACATCTGGTCAATTTTCTTGCAACGTGTTAATTCTAAGACGTGTCTCCTTGCCCACTCTGTTCCATAACAAACTCCTCTCCAGTATCTGCTCTAACGATGTTAACATTAACTAATGTTTTCAAGGAGCTTTGGCTATTTCCTCACAAATATCACACCTTCCTGAGACCCTGGTCAGTAGAGGAGGTTTGATGAATGCGCCTTTGGCAGAAAAAAAGAATACACAGAAAGGCTACCGCTCTCGCAATAAATTAGATTTTTATCTAATACCCCTCTCCCTGGGGATGAAAGGCAGCCTCTGAAGCCAAGCAAAAATGATTAAGGAAGGTTTGGTAATAACCTACACACTAGAAAAGGCAGTTCATGGGATTGCAGGGCCCAAGTGAACTGAACAAGTTGACTGCTTCTAAAGTGGCTTTCTGGAAGGAGCAGCATGGGAACTGGCCCAGGCTCTTCAGATAACTGGCAAAATAACACCCACCAGAGGCAAGGTGGGTACGAGACAGGACCCAGCCATTAATCTGTGCTTACAACACAAAATGATAAATAAGCTTACAGATTTCCAAAGGCAAAATATTTAAAAGAGAAGGCTTTAGATGGGTGTCTGGCTTCCCTGCTCTGGCCTTTCTCCCATCTCATTCATTCTGCCCACATCTTATCTTTCCAAAGACAAAGTCTAAGCCTGTCATTTTAAGGGATGCAAGCTGTTCTTTTCATAAAATTCAAAGGTCTCATGCACCCGTTCACCCTCCTACTTGCCCCCACGGTTCCCACCTGAGTTCTTCATGACCCATGCCACTTTTCTGCCCACACCACACACACCAACCTCAGGGCTTTCGTCCATGCGAACGCCTTGTCTGGAACTTTCCTCCCTCTACCTCTGCCTGGTCCCCTCTGCCCGCTTCTCCTGGGACCCCTCCCAAGGTCTGAGCTGGGTGCCACTCTTAAGGCTTGTTAAGGTGCGTGGTGCTGCCCCATTACAGGACCCACGGCTCACATGTGCTTGGTTGGGTACTTCCCTGACCACCCCCCTTCAGACTGTAAACTCTTGTGTCCACTTTAGTCACCAGTTTATCTCCAAGCCCAGCACAGAGCCTGGAACACCAGGGTCCTCAATAAACACCTGTTGAGTGAACAGGTCAACACGCTACTGACTGACACCTCCTTAGGAGATGATGTCAAAGCCACTAAAAATGAACTGAAGGAAAGATGGCCAAATCTGCAGTAAACAGAGTATCCACTATAAGTAGTTATTTTTGTCCTGAACTCTGCTAAACAGGATTACATACTTTAATAGTTAGACCTGAGAAATTCCATATTCCAAAGACAACACCTACATACATACAAACCAACGTTCCCACATCGCAGGCCAAACCTGGCATCACTACTCAGCTTGAATAACCTCTCCTGAGCCTGGCAGGCAGTTGGCATCCCCTGATTAGAGGTAACAAGGGAAAACTTGTTCCCCATCCCTGAAAAGGCTGAACATTGAATTTAAATTCAAGGGCTATCACCCGGTCACCTGTCTCAGGTCACCAGCTCTGTCTCCAGGGAAGGGCCACAGTCAGAGCCCAGACAGCCTGTCTCCCAAACCAGCTCGGTTTCAACCACGCGAGGCTTATTTGTAAATCTCTTGTAATGAGTACCTAGCTTACTTATGGGGGTTTGCTTTTAAATAATATATATCTAATGTGCTCACGTGTGTGCTCAGTCCTTCACTTGTGTATGACTCTTGTGCGACCCCATGGACTGTAGCCTGCCAGGCTCCTCTGTCCATGGGATTTCCCAGGCAAGAACACTGGAGTGGGCTGCCATTTCCTCCTGCAGAGGATCTTCCCAACCCAGACACTGAATCCGCGTCTCCTACATTGGCAGGCAGATTCTTCACTACTGAGCCACCTGGAAAGTGCACATATGTAATAGGGTATGGAAGTATGTTTTCTCTAGCCACTTAAATGGGCATCATTGATCATGGGGGCCCTACACTCCAGGCCCCGCCCAGGAGGTGCGGACTGGCTGACTATACCAGGAAATGCCTATCCTCCCAAAACTCTGCCAAGCAGGGACTCACGGCAGTTTCTCTCGTCGCTCATGTCTCCGCAGTCATTGTCAAAATCACACCACCAGATGCTGTTGATACACTTCCCGTTGTTGCACCGATACTGGTTGCGGAGACAGGTGTTCTCTGGCCATGGAGGGAGGCAGAGGAGAAAGTGAAACCAACATCATTCTTCCTGCTGGACCATAAGACTTTCTGTTCTGAGTTTCCATTCATCTTCCTCAAATAACATGCCTCAAACAGCAATGGGGAAGGGGGATGTTTTGCACAGGGGCCCGCAGGGAAACCAGCATCCAAGGAGACCTCCTTCTCTCCTCTTTTAATTAAAATTGGAGGAGGAGAGGCCTCTAGAAGCAGCAGAGGGGGTTACAATGGTGAAAAAGGAGAGTGATGGTGTCAGGTGGATCTAGCAGGTAGAAACATATAAACACCATAAAATACTAATTCCAGGGGCTTTCTTGGCCACTCAGTGGCTAACACTTTGCATTTCCAGTGGTTAATACTTTGCAGGGGGTGTGGATTCAATCCCCAGTCTATGATCCTACATGCCACAGCCAAAAAAGAAAAAAAAAAAAATTACTAACTCCACAAGGAATTCTTTAAGCGACCGTGTAGCTATTGAAGAGAAGTGAAGTGAAAGTTGCTCAGTCATGTCCGATTCTTTGTGACCCCATGGACATCCATGGGAATCTCTAGGCCAGAATACTGGAGTGGGTAACCTTTCCCTTAGGGGATCTTCACAACCCAGGGACTGAACCCAGGTCTCCAGCATAGCAGGCAAATTCCTTACCAGCTGAGCCACAAGGGAAGCCTATGTAGCCATTATCCAAATATACAAATTCAATATATCTATACCTAGATAGTTTAGACAAACTATGGTCATATATATTCATGTGTGTTCTATTTAACAACCAGGAGGATTATGGAGATTTGCTTTACATATTTTTGAGGATTTTTTCCTACCCCATGACTCCTTCAAAGTGAGCAGTTATAATTCCTCACACAGGAAAAAAAAAATGCACTGTTCAGTCAACTGGGTTAAGAACACGTGATGACTGGCCTCCTGTCTGGATTAAGTAAAGGCTTTCTGACAGGGATACAGAAAGGCTCTTTTCTCCTCCTTCTGGAATTCAGTGTTAACCCCATTTCTTCCCAAACAACTTTAAGGCTCTGGTCATCACCAGAGCCTGAAAGAGTGCCCCTGTGTCTTAGACAAAAAGGTTCATCTTTTTTCCATCTGTATTTCTTAAGAGGGCCCAGAAGGCCACTTTGCAGTTTTTGCTTCCCTGGATTTTAAGGCTGCTGTGAGAGGGTAAGTTATGATTACAAAGCAAATATAAGCTTGAGAATAAGGAAAGGTAGGAATCCAGGCCATGTTCATCAACAGGATACTTTGTGGCAAGGCCCCTCCAGGGGCTCACCTCCTGGAAAGAAATGTGAGGCTGGGGACTGGTGAAATGGTAAAAGGAAAAACTAGACAGGGAAGAAAGATGTAACAGGTATTCAGGGTGACATGTTAGAATCTGTGTGTTCAGATTCCAAGAGGGTTGGGGTGAGGCTGCTGCAGACATCTGGCTGCGGTTTAAGAGGAAAGACTCTTAAGTGCTGTGCAAAACTGATCAGAAAGTTCTGGTGTTGCTAGGCTGGGCAGGGAGGGGGAACTGCTGGATGAGAAGAGGTGAGCTTTGCAGGAGTCCTTTGCTGAAGTCAGGGTGGTCCAACTGTACCCTGCACCCTTTTAGAAGAGGAGCTGGGAATGATTGGTGTGGGGTGGATGGGGAGAGGAAGAGGCAGAAAAAGAAAAGAAAGGTGCACTCACAGGAAGGTCTGCATCCCCTGACATTTAACCCAAAAGCAACTCATCTTTAAAAAAACAGCGTAGGCCTGCTCTGGATGGGGACTGAGGGACCACAGGCCTTGGAAAGTGAACTAGGATGCCCGTGTCTAGAGGGTTTTATTGTCTATCTTGGGCATTTTCTTTTTTTTTTTTTCTTCCATTTATTTTTATTAGTTGGAGGCTAATTACTTTACATCATTACAGTAGTTTTTGTCATACATTGAAATGAATTAGCCATGGATTTACATGTATTCCCCATCCTGGTCCCCCCTCCCACCTCCCTCTCCACCTGATCCCTCTGGGTCTTCCCAGTGCACCAGGCCCGAGCACTTGTCTCATGCACCCAACCTGGGCTGGTGATCTGTTTCACCCTAGATAATATACATGTTTCAATGCTGTTCTCTTGAAATATCCCACCCTCGCCTTCTCCCAGAGTCCACAAGTCAGTTCTATACATCTGAGTCTCTTTTTCTGTTTTGCATATAGGGTTATCGTTACCATCTTTCTAAATTCCATATATATAAAGACCATTACAGTATACTATCTTGGGCATTTTCAATAACCCCAAACACGAGTGCATCAAGGACACATCGAAGGGGGAGGATGGGCAGAAAAGGAAGACGGGGACGCACCTTCTTTGACACACGTGTGGTTCTTCAGCTGGTAGCCGTGAGGGCACTCGCACATCAGGTCCCCGGACGGGAGGACACTGCTGGACACGCCGTCTGGACACCGGCAGCTCCTGCTGCCGTCGGCCTTGGGCAGGCACAGCAGGCTGCAAGGCCGGGATGCACAGGCGTTGCTTCCTAGAGAGGAGACAGGTGGCAGCGGCCAGATTAGCAGACACCAGGGGGTGCCAAACGCAGGCCTGAGACCCGGGGAATCCTTTTGCAGACTCACAGACCATACGATAAGCTCAGGAAGAGAAAGGTGAAGTGGCGAGCATGAGGGGGCCCCAGCTGGATCGGATGGCCCCAGAACCAAGCCCACTGGGAATCTGGATGGAGGACGTTGGGACACCACAAGGTAGGCGGGGAGCTGCAGGGGGGAGGAGGGTCGTCGCCTGGGGGGTGTCTCAGGGAACACAAGGCAAAAACCTGTGCCAGTCAGAGGCAGGCAGGTAAGATCAGTCTGCAGCATCAGGAGGATGAAGCCGACTTAGGAAGAGAAGAAAGGATGACACCGGTACCCGGGGTGCGGGGGTTGTGGGGCTTGGCCAGGCCCGGCCCCAGTCCCCATCAGCACACCTGTGCCTCCTATCTTGGGTTCCTTCCCATCTCCCTTCATTCTTTCCATAGCACTTTTAGCGTGAGTGTTTTTCCGTGCCTTGTGACCCAAAAGCCCCTAACTAGAACATAATGACAGGCCCCAGACAGAAAATCTGAGACTGCCTCCTTGATTCCTTTGTGCTGTCGGAGCACAGCCGCCGAGCTCAACGAGGAACCGACCAGACGCCCGTCAGGCAACAAATCCACGAGCAACGGGCCCACAGAAGGACCGAATAATGCTGATCTAGCCCACTGTTTCCAATCTTTTCTGTGGTTCAGCTTCCTAAAGAGAATGCCAGCTAGAGTCCATACGATCCTCCACGGCACTCTCGAGAGAGAACACTTCTGGATGCACAGTGACGGAAGTGTTTTCTATCCCCCTCATCCTTCAGAGAAGGAGACAGAGGAGTCCCAACAGAGGAAACCATTTCCTCACAGCCGAACATGTGATACAATGATCAAGCAATGTGAAAGTCACGTAAACTAAGAAATGTGCATTTTCCTTTTTGCCTGTGACTACTCATAATCAAAACTAAATAGGGGCTTCCCTGGTGGCTCAGTAGTTAAGAATCCCACCAGGAAGATCCCACATTGTTACGGAGAGACGAAGATCCACGTGCCACAACTACCGCAGCCCCCACGCCTAGAGCCTGCACTCCTCAACACGAGAAGCCGCCTGAACGAGAAGCCCGCTCACCACAACTAGAGAAAAGCCCAGCAAACAACAAAGACCCATGTATGCTAAGTAGCTTCCGTCGTGTCTGACTCTCTGTGAGACCATGGACTAAAGCCTGCCAGGCTCCTCTGTCCATGGGATTCCCCAGGGAAGAATACTGGAGTGAAGTGCCGTTTCCTCCTCCAAGGGATCTTCCCAACTCAGGGACTGAACCCGTGTCTCTTATTTATGTCTCCTGCGCTGGCAGCCATGTGTCTTCCCCACTAGCGCCACCTGGAAGGCCAACAAACACCCAGCACAGCCAAAAATTAATAAATAGTTTTTTTTTTTAATTGGGGAAAATAAATGTAAACGCTTGGGTAAAACTCAGCTGATAAAGATTCTTCAGTTGTGCCCTCTCAGGGACAGAGGACCCCACAAAAATCAAATCTAAGTAATCTGTTTCCAGCCAGCCAAAGTTTAACCTACGCCATCCTGGCCTGCAGGTTGGGAAACAGGGTTCATTTGTGACAATTGGTAATAAGACGAGTGACGACATACTCATAAGCCGCAAATGTGTTGGCATCTCCTTGGTGTTTAACTGGTGTAAACTATACATAAAAAATAAAATTCCTCATGATACAGCAACAGTGTTGCTTTAATGCTAAGGATCCAAGAGCACAAGGCATTACCAAGTGGATAAAACACACACAACCAGAGGGAGATCTGTTTGATGAAACATTCAAAGGGGTCTGCAACAGACTCCATCAACCCACGGGCGGGACCAACACAGTGAATAACCTGCTGATGGAAGCAGAAATGCCAGGAACCAGCTCCCTCTCATCTGTTCCGTGGGCAGATGCCCATCCCTTTATCTCAAATGCACCTGCCGTGGGCTGCAGGAGGGAATGCCGAGCTGCCAGTAACAAAAACAACCCCATCTGGGGCTCTGGAACATGTTCTTTGTCTTCAAAGGACACCATGTCATTCGACGTTCCAAGAAATTGAACAATAATAGAATATTTAACAAATACTCATCGACAGGAGTATTTTCACATGGACTCCGTGAAATAGCATCAGTGATATTTTCACATGCAGGGTTAAGTGTTTCCACCCAAAGAAGGAAACTGAAAGTACAGAACCCAAAGGGAGCTGGAGTATTCCTGGAGACTGGCCCCCACAGGCATGAATGAAACTGTAATCTGAGGGGCACGGCCAGGAACAAACCCCAAACCAGGCAACCAAGTCACTGATCCTAAAGGAGTAGGCAGGGCAGGCACGTGTGGGCAGGTCCAGAGCCATGGCACAGGACTTCCCTGGTGGGCCAGTGGCTAAGACTCTGCACTCCTAATGCACAGGGCCCGGGTTCGATCCCTGGTCAGAGAACTAGATCCCACATGCTGCAACTAAACACCCTGCGAGCTGCAACTAAGACCTGGGACAGCCACATGAATGAATGAAGAAATAAACAAATATATATCTATTTTTTAAATAAACACACAAAGCCACAGTACAGAAAATGGGGGCACTAATCACAGAGAACCTGGGAGAACATGAAGGAAGATGAGGCAGAGTTCCATCAGAACACAGCCAAAGACCCCTTCCCTAAGACACCACAGTCTCGTGTGGGCCAGGTGGGTCGTTTGAAGACTGGACAGCTGACAGCCTCCGTCTCCAAAGACGTCCCTCTCGAAGACCAAACGTTTAGCCTCGAGAGGCCTTCACTGGACATACCCAGGACATTTACAGATTTCCTCTTTGGAAAATTCCTCCAGAACCCTCTGAGGAGCCAACACTGCTATTATCAGGCTTAACCATCCACACACTCGACAATATCAAAATCAGATCCACCCCGTATGGTAAACAGTTACCCTCATGATAGATATTGAAAACTATGTGTTTACTGCAGGCTCTGAAGGAACATTCCAAGAACTCCAAAACAGTTTAACCCATTGCAGCATCAACTTAATACACCAGTAGCCCTGCTGAGAAAGTTGTTTAAAGAAAAGTACACTCTCTATGAAGAGTAAATTCCAGGAACACTGTGTAACAAACAACCAGGTATGAAGACACAAAAAAGCACCTGTTTGTAACTAAATATTCTAAACTGACAAACACTGCAAGTGAACAAAATTCTCATCATCCTAAACAAGAATCCACTAAAACCTACGACTGCTAAATAACTGTCGTACACCAGGGCACTGCTAATCCAACAACAGGTGAGAGGTGGAACAGAGCCTGGTGGTTTCTTGGAAGTTCAAGCTCTGAAGTCAACTAGCTGCTGCTGCTGCTAAGTCACTTCAGTCGTGTCCAACTCTGTACGACCCTATAGACGGCAGCCCAGCAGGCTCCCCCATCCCTGGAATTCTCCAGGCAAGAACACTGGAGTGGGTTGCCATTTCCTTCCCCAGCGCATGAAAGTGAAAAGTGAAGGTGAAGTCGCTCAGTCGTGTCCGACTCTTAGCGACCCCAGGGACTGCAGCCTACCAGGCTCCTCCATCCATGGGATTTTCCAGGCAAGAGTACTGGAGTGGGATGTCATTGCCTTCTCTGGATTTCAGCTGAGAGTAGACCAATGCGATGCACAATGAGTCTGAAGTCAGAGGTTCAGATTCCCATCCCAAGTTGCCATTGAGAAAGTTGAGAAAGCATTGATTTAGGAAAGTTGATTATCCTCAGAATCTCAGTTTTCTCTTTCTTGAAGAGATGATACATATTCTTGGCTGGGTTGCTGCAAGAATTAAAATAGGAAATGTTTCTGGCCTTGTAGTAAGTATCCAAAAAGGATGGTTACTAGCATTATCACCACTTCTAATACTATCCCTCTGCTGGACTCCAAGGTCCCTGAATATAGAACATAATTCTTGTTTCCCTTTTTATTTGCAGCATCTCACCAAGACCTGGAACCAAGTAGATGCTACTAATTATTTTCTGTTGTTAATCGAATTGATATTCAGTCACATCCAACTCTTTGCATCCCCAAGGGCTATAGCCCATCAGGCTCCTTAGTCCATGGAATTTTCTAGGCAAGAATACTGGAGTGGATTGCCATTTCTTTTTCCAGGGGATCTTCCCAACCCAGGGATTGAACTGGTGTCTCTTGTGTCACCTGCACCAGCAGGCAGGTTCTTTACCAATTGAGCCATTGAGGGAAGCCTCAAAAAAATATTATTATTTACTTATTTGGCCACTCAAGGGATATTTTAATTGTAGCATGTGGGATCTAGTTCCCAGACCAGGGATCGAACCCAGGCCCTGTGCAATGGGGGGACCCCATGCAGCATCTAAGCCACTAGGCCACTAGGGAAATCCCAATATTATCATCACTTTTGATACTATTCCTTGGCTTGACTCCAAAAGTCCCTGAAGATAGGGCACATACTTTGTTGCTCTTCGTATTTGCAGTATCTCGCAAGGCCTGAAACCAAGTAAATACTGCTAATTATTCCTGCTCTTAATAGAACTGCCCCAGAAAAAGCTAGGACTTAATGTTAATGAAGTGAAAGTAATAGGCCAGATGGGGAATGTCTGTGGGACTAGGGGTTTTAGGGGAATACACAGAGTAGCAGGCAGTTACAGGAAATTCACACACACACTCACACATAGGGCATGCTATCTACAGGAAACCATTCACAGAAAATGGAAGTAATAAACATACATGAATCAGTGAGGACTGGAAAGCAGACACTAGTCAATGTGTGACAACAGGCTAGAAAAACCTGCTCTCTGACAGTTGTCAGCATGGGACACATAAGCAAGTAGTGACAGAAGCAGGGAAATCTTTAAGAAGTTAGGGTTAAAAAAAGAAAAGAAGTTAGGGTAGAGTTCCCAGATAAAATATAGGACATCCAGTTAAATTTGAATTTCAACCAATGACAAATAATTATTTTAG